GTCGATGCTGAAGTCGCCATTCCAGCACCCTCTCGACTGTGGGCCATGGTTACAATTGGTCTTGTAGCCGTCTCGTCTTTCGCGCCCGCTCCAAAGACCACTCTTCTTCCATGGGACTTCAGGTAGCCTGGGTGTGAGGTGCTCGACGGATGGCACAGCGAACGAAGTCACTGACGGAAGGAAGAGCCCTAGGGCGGTGGCCAATCTGAAGATTGAAACACCCATTGTGGATGATGGAAGGAGGAATGAAAGAACGTAGATGTAAACGACAGCTGCCAGACCCTTTACGCACGGGGCCAACGAGTGCAGATAGGCGCAGATCAAGCTGTAAACGAAAAGCGAAGGCTGGCTGGTTTGATTAACAAAGGGTGGTACGATAGATTATATCCCCAGCATGAAAACATTGCCCTGCCTCTCTAGTGGACCGATTGATCGGCCGAAAGACTACCGATGCCAGCAGTGGAGAGTTCCCACCACTAGTCAATGGTATGATCACTCCATGTAGAGACTGTTGCGGCAAGAAGCGTCCAAGATCGCCATGAGCGCGGTCTACGGCCCATGAACGGTAAGGGCGTGGGCTTAGTATGAGGGCCTGCCCAGAGCTGTGAGCGTAAGAGACGGCTACATTTCAGCCCTAAGTAGATGAACGGAGAATTTTAAGTGGTCGCTTTCGTCTCAAATGTCGGCATAGCTCGTGTTACACGACTGAATGCAGCTAGACCTACCGAGCCTCGGCGGCAGATGGACTAAAGAGAGCGGCCTGGATACTTGGTAGAGCTGCAGCAAGTGCTGAGTCGTACATGGCGGCGGCAGCCTCAGCAGGCTGTGATGCAGCAGCAAGCGGTGATGTGCCTTGGGTCGCGCAGAAAGTGGGGCATGCGAGGCGTCGGTTGACATGCAGATACAGGAGTGGATGCCGCTATGGGTAGTGTGCAGAACAATCGCCCGAGCTAACCGTGGGGTTGAGAGCCGTCTCCGGTGCTTGTAAAGCTTGATAGTCGTGAAGCGAGAGGAAGAAGGATCCCAGAAGCGCAACCGAGCCAACATCCATGGATGTCGAGACGATCTGAGCTAATTGCCGCTAACGCTAGGCCATGCACGGACTAGTCCGCCATGCTGTGTCGGAGTTCGTGAGGGGGGCCGGACCTCATGGACCGACCACAACATCACCACATCGCAAAACTGACCACTGAGAACACGTTTTCCTGAAGGGATGTGTACTTTGCGCTTAGTTAGGCGCCCCAAATCGGCTGTAATCGCCTCCTTCAAAACGTGCCGTACCGTTTTCATGACGTTCAGGACCGCAATTAGACTATTGACATGCACCACAGCTGCACCGGCAGCCTTGGATAGCCACAGGCGCCATAGTGTCGGCGATGTCTTCATGTCTCGACTGATATCGCGATGTCTCAGTGTTGCCACTCTGGATACACGGCTGAAGCGGATGCATCCTTCCATATGTGGTCCGAGGGAAGGCAGCATCGCCGGATGAAGGCCATACGCCCATGCACTCTTCAAGATCGAGGGCATCTGCGTGGGAACATATTACCACTGCTCAGCAGTGGTTAAGCTAGTATTCTCCATGGGTGCGAAGATACCACAGAGTCGTTCCCACGTCATCCTTGCCAGCCCTGTGCATCGTCCATTATCTGCATGGTGCCGGTACCAACACGAAGGTTTGACAGAAGCGAACGGCTTACGGCCCAGTGTCAGATTTGGTGCAGTGCCTTCCGCGTCGGTGGTTTGATCACTGACAGCAAAGAACGCCACAATATTGAAGGAATGAGGTGCGTCTGCTTACCTGCATAGTGCAGCGAAACTGACATTCAGCTCGCAATCCTTCGTGGCATTTCCTCAGGTGAGAAGTCAGCCTTACAGCAATGCTCACCGAGTGTCGGTCAAAGACGAGCTTGGCTCAAACAAATTTCCTGTTTGCCGACTACGTCTGTTCGCCAGTAGTGTTATTACGTTATGGGTAGCAAGCGACGACTACATGTGCCTTGAGGCTCAACTAGAACCTTGGTATACATCGCCCGCGGACCGACGTCCGATCATCTTCAAGGCATGCGCAATGTTCAGAGAGCTATATTTGCACCGAAGAACAAATCTGGCGTCGCCCTTCCGCCTCTAACTGGGACGCCCGGACTACCGAACCCCCACTTGTGGCTGCATGCCGTAAACCGTGGTTAAACCCGGTCACGGAGTTCGTCCTAGGGTGCCGCGGAGGTCTCGAGAGCAGGCTTCTCCATCAAGCCGGGTAAACAAGGCCCATGTCTGCACATAGTCGTCTAATCTTGTCGGCTATCTCAATCAAATTGATCCTCGACATGGAATCAATCTTCCGACCTACATGGATCGCAGAAGCTGTATGACGTCCTTTATTAAATTACCCGGCAATTCGGATCATGCAAATTGGCGACGGCCCTGCTATCGTGTCTCTAGGATCGACCATGTGGAATGGCCACTGCCTACATGTCAACGGAGGTACGAAGAAACTGAGTCTTGAAAGGATGCATGCGAAGTTGCAACATGACACTGTTCTACTCTACTATCAGCGTGGAGATCCTTAGGATAGATGTCTCCTCGAAAAGAAAAACCCACAAGAGACAGAATCCATCGTAGGTCGAGACAGAAGATCGAGACATTACCGGAGCCCAGTTCTATTCACTCGCTGACCGAGCGTCCGGCTCTAGGAAAGCTACCGTCCGTTCCTGCATCTGATCATCCCGCGGAGTCCCTGTGGCGACAAGATACCCAGTCCTGGGATGAATATTAGCAGCAGGGTACCCAGACAACCGCGCGTCTCCATGGATTACGAATGCATGACGCCTCAACGCCTACATCCGCCACTGTGTAACGTGTGTAGACAGCGATTCTTCTGCAGGTGGACGTAGTAGCTGATGATCGAAACGAGATTAACGATGGCGGTGATGTGCAACCTCGCGTGCAAGTAAACCACATGGTGTGATCTAACATGTCGTGATCCAAGCGGCTGGTGCTACTAGCCACGCCAACTTCCGAGCGCCGTGTCACTGCCGTCGCCTCAGAAACGTGCTGTGCATGTTAGTCGGGCAGACATGAGACACCGACAGGAAGGTACGACTGCGGAGACGTCGATGCTGTGCAGCTGTCAGGTACGACTTACAACTTCCGAGAACCTTATGCGTGTCTTCGCTAAGGCATGAAGTGTTTGACGTATAGGAATGAAGCCTGCTTCTGTCGATACCTAGCATTAGATCGCGACAACGGCCGCTGTTCCCTTAGCAACATAGAGCGTCAGTCAGAGCGGTAGGCGCCGCTCATGCATAGCGCGAACGTCTGGCCTCAACAGACGCATGCAAGGTCGATCAGTGAAGAAACCTTATGTTGTGAAATTGGACATGGATGCCTGGAGGACGGGAGGTTGGGGAGGCTGGGCTACGACGAGGTCGTTTCCCTGTAGCCATGCCTAGGGAAATTGCACCGGGGAGGTATACAAAGATGATATCATTGACGTTCCAGCTAGTCCAACTACAACATATGCGTCAAGAGTTTAGAATACGAATAACAATGAAAGACATGCGAGCTTGTGTAGTACTAAAGAGTTGACCGGGTGACGTGATTTGCTACGTACGTCTTCAAGCAACGACTATCCGCTTCCTTCCGGTTTCCTTGTACAAACTCGCCTTCTGCCGTCATTTCTCCTTGCAACCCCCCGATAGATTCATCGTCAGGCAACCTCTCTGACCTTCGAAGATACGTATCTTTTCGACGAGCCTGCCGCTGGGTCCAACGAACCAGCTACAGCTGACTTGATCGACAGTAGAATAAGTGGCCTGGCCATTGCCCTGGTTTCTGAGACCTGCAAGGACAAAAACAGGAAACCCACTTCCCCAGGTCCGCGCTTTCAGTTCCAGGATGCCGACAAGGTCCTCGCGTGTGAGTAATGAGATCCAGTGTTTGCTTCGATATCGCAAGAGCCTCTCTAAGGAGTCAACAAGAGTATCTGGATCGTTGGTGAAGGTGACCTTGATGTCCATTGGATGATTGACGAGGAGTCGTAGGAGTGGTATCAGGTCGGTGGTTTCAAATTCGTCGTAACTTCCTTGTCCAACACCGAGATGTACATCTGTCACGGGCAGGAACTTATCGTGACGATCGACGTCGACCTTCGTGGGAATGAGAAACGTCTCGATGTAGTGACATGCGTCGTCGATGTTCACGATGTGCTGGGATAACAGCAATGGCCGAAATTCGCTCCGAATCTGTGCGCACATGTTTGCAAACTGGATAAGTGGCATATGACCCCTGCTGACTGGATGTGGTGTACCTGCTAGGTAGCCGTAGATTATGTTCCGTATTTCTAAAGAAGTTCAGCAAACTACCAACAGTGTCACTCATCAGTCTACGATATCTTACCACCTGGAAGTTTCAGCAATGGCGAGATGTCCTTCGATAGATGTACGGTAGCGACATGTTGCGCATTGTCGGAGGATTGATCTTGTTGGCAATTCGTCATGGTAAATGCTGATAATGTGCCTATTAACAGCGGCTCTGACCACAGTTTATAGCGTTGGTGTTTGTACAAGGGAAGTATCTGGAAAGTAGAACTCATCATGAGACCTTTCTTCTTCTTCTTTGCGCAAACAACAATTGTGCCGCTGCCCACTTAGCCATGGATTAGGACATAGCCCTTCGTGTTGATTTACCGATGCGGCAATGTGGCAGAGATACAGTCTGTCGAGCGAAGGACGATGGATGTTTGTGATATCGGTAATCGTCAGGGCAGTTGAGAAGTACTATATCAGTCAAGTAACACATATTTGATTGCCTCCTGGGGCCACGGAGAGCCCAACGTTTCCGGAGTCTCTTTGTTAGGTATGCAGCAACTGACCCGTGCTTCGCTCGGTTTTCGTTCATATAAAAGCGACAGAGAAGACTGTAAGACTTTTGTGATGCCATGATATTCTCCATATGTACACAGCGCGTCTCCTCGCTCGTTTGGATTCCGATACCAATGCCTAGAACTCGGAGATCATGTCGCCCCTCCGCTTGCCGCGCATGTCCCACTTGCCCTGGAAATATCTGTCAGCATCCATTCGTCTTGCTTTCCATTTACGCAGCGTCTCAAATGCCGCTTCCCCCACCGCCCAAATTCGTGCTTGTCTAAACTCACCTCGGTCATGTATCCTGCCGTACCCAGCATAGCGGGCACCATGACGACGTAGGCGAATGTGAGCCAAGCTGTGCGCTTCGTCCAGCGGAAGTACTTGTGGCGGTTGACAGTCATGTCTGTTCCTCGTCAGTACTGCGTACTGCATTGTCCCCTACTCCACCGCCCATGTCACGACTCTTGCGCCTTTGAGGCCGTTCCTTCTTTTCAACGCGTCGGTTTTCGGGGTACCATAGAGGTCTTCAGGATGCGGGGTCGGTGGTGAACGTACTGGCCCATTTGATAATGGCGGGATCCGCGTGGATCACTGCGTATTGTTAGCGATTGCGCCCCCAATGGTCCTTTTCGTAGTATTACGCACTGCCGTGGTTGTGGCCCGCCATTCGGCGGAAAGTTGGCTGCATGTTTGCGGGCTCTTGCGCGTGTGTATGTGTTGCGCGGTTGGTGAGCTTGGGGTTGACGAGGTGCGCGCGATGAGGTCGGCGGAGAGGCGGCAAGTGCCGCCGGGTCTTGGCGCTTCAGCAAAGCATTATGAGCCGTCAGCACGCAACAACCTCATGCTATATGAGCACCTCTTGAGAAGAAGTCCACCTGCTCTCTGTATTGCCTGTATAGCCACAGATTCTGTAAGGCGCCTTACTTCTTGCTCAAGTCGCTACAGCTGCGATCATGATATCACACGGCAACCATTGGCGACATCACAACCGGACTGCCCCGTCTTACACACCCTCAATGTCTACAAAGCTACTACATATAGTAATTGTCGAGGCCTCGTTCCTGCTTCTCATCGATGCTGCGGAGAGTCGGCCAAACCGACACTAGATACATGGATGACCGAGTGCCCGAGCGGGCAGCCAACCACCGATGGGCGCTGAACGCCGAAGCTTGTGACGGCATCAGATAAATCCGTCCAAGAACCTCGGTGGTATTGAAAACTTCATCTCATCACTGCGGTTACTATCCAGAATACATTCTAATCGCAGAACCGAACTTCACATCGCTAAGACTTATCGCAAACATGTCGAACCAGCAGGGAGCAAAGATCACCGTTCATTGGTAAGTTACCAAGTCTGTCACATGCCTGTCATCCCCGTGCGGTCCACGGGTCCCACCGCATTGCGCCATCGCCATCAGCAACCACGACTAATCAACTGAATAGGCTGAACAAATCCCGTGGCCAGCGCGTTGTATGGCTGCTCGAAGAGCTCGGCCTTGAGTACGACATCGCGGTGCACAAGCGCGATGAGAACAAGCGCGCGGGTCCCGAGCTAAAGGCCATCCATCCTTTGGGAAAGTCACCATGTGTTACCATCAGGCCCGCAAACTCTGAGAAGGACATCGTGATCGCTGAGAGCGAGACGATTATGGAGTACATTTGCGACCATTTTGGCAAGGACTTGGTTCCTAAGCGGTACCCTGAGGGACAGGAAGGTGTGCTTGGCGCTGAGACTGAGGAGTGGATGAGGTACAAGGTGAGATAGATTTAGAGATAGACTATTAACAGGCCAGATAGCTAACACTGATCTAGTTCCTGATGGACTACACTGAGGGTAGTCTCTTCACTATCCTAATCCTGGCGCTAGTCACCGGAAGTGAGTACACCCCTGCCCAGATGCCACCATCCCTCCTCCGGCCCCCGGGGCCCACTAACCACTACCTCAGACATCAAGAACGCCCCAGTCCCATTCTTCCTCAAGCCCATCACCAACGGCGTCGCCGGCAAGATCGACTCTGGCTTCGTCGACCCAGAGCTGAAGACCCACTTCGACTTCCTCGAGGACTACCTCGTCAACTCTCCTAGCAAGGGCGAGTTCTTCTGCAGCGACAAGCTGACCGCTGCGGTAAGTCCTGGCTGTACGAAATGCATGTGAGACAGATGCTGACTTCGTACCTCTACCTCTGCAGGATATCATGATTCACTTCGGACTTGAAGGCGCGACGCAGAGGCTGCCATTGAGCGAGACGAGCTACCCTAAGTTGTATGAGTACATGAGGAGGCTGCAGAAGAGGGACGGGTATCTGAGTGCTGCGAAGAGGGTAGAGGAGGCGAGTGGAGAGAAGTATGTTCCGTTTAGTGACGCGAAGTTGTAGTAGCTGGCACGAGGAAGTCCATTCTATATTCTATAACAAAACAACCTAGCGAGCGTCTATATACAAAAGAAAGCGCGATCTAATCCCAAACGCCATCATCTACTCACAAACGAACGATCGCCTTCACCTATCCCTCGTGAGATCCTACCTACAACCTCACTTCACACCAAACACCCAACCTTACTAATCACCCGAACTCGCAAGTCACCTACCCCTAATATCCACCCGTAGACATCGGATACCCACCCGTAGCACTAGGATACCCACTCACCGTCGACGAAGCCTCACCATCCCCAGCCGCCTTATAAGGAATCCCACACTTCTTCGCACAACTCTCCACAATCGCCGTAAAATCGCTCGTCAACTGCGGCCTCAACCCCGCAATCTGTTCCGGCGTCAAAAACTCACTGTAACCCGCACTCGCCTCAAGCACCTCATCCGGCGTACCAGAGAAGAAGCCCCTGGCAGCTTCCACGCGCCCAGGATCGTTGACATCGAAGCCCGCGACGAAAACAGCGGGCTCGCATTCGGGGTTGAATTGCCAGTGGATGAGGCCCTTGGGGAAGAGCATGCCCGTGTAGTTGGACAGCGTAGTCTCGATTTGTTTGTAAGGTCCGCGAACGGGAGGTGCACCGCCTACTACATTTCCAAACCCGCTGTCGTTTTCGAGGAGGAGGGCGCCGATTAGTGTTCCTTGGGTTACGGTGAGGAACTCATTGGAGCGGGGGTGCCAGTGCGGCGTGTTGAGACCACAGGGGTTGACGAAACCCACGGCAGCTGCGAGGCCGGTGGAGCCCAGCGCAGGGAAGTTGTTGATGGTGGACAGGAAGATGGAACCGGCGGTAGGGGCTGTTACGGTGTTGTTGATGAATTGGAAGGTGTCGTTTGCGGCGTTGGGGGGGTTGGGGAAGAGGATGGCTTCGCGGGCGGTTTCGGATTGGGCGAGGAGGAGGGCGTTGCGTTGGGTGGTTAGTTCGGCGGCGGTCAGGGCGTTGACGGTGTTGGGGTTTATGGTTCGTTTGGAGTGGTAAGGTGGGCCGGGGGCGATTGGGTTGGCTACTGCGAGGGTAGCCAGGAGGGTGGTGATGAGGATGGAGTGCATGTTGCTGGTTGTGTTGTTATGAATGAGGTTGATAGAGAAGATGAGAGTCTGGTGAGGACCTTCTGGCAGGACGCTGGCCTTCCTTATATGCCTATCCGAAGCCTTCTTGACTGTCAACCTTCCCTCTCGTTCTTACTTCAGCTTGTTGTCAAGGCGTTGTGCACGCTCGGTCTCTTCCAGCCACGTCTGATCACACACGCTTCAAACCCAACACTTTCTATCCGTATGACACTAGAAATAATACCGGATGAAGCGATCGTCACCACTTATTGGACGTGCTTGTTCTCATGGCTATGAGCTTCACATCAGCAGATTAACTATGAATGCCTAAACGTGTGCAAAATAGACGAGATATGATGTAGGTGGTGGTGGTGATGGTACGAGGACGGACGCCTACATGACTGTGAGAATCAATAAGCATTGGATGCCTTGGTGAGCTTGAGTACAAGGCCACCGCGGGAGCTTGTTCTCACCAAATGACTTCTAGAGCTTTGATCTTGATTGTTCAAGATGAAGAGTTTACTGAGTAGTTCACCCATCAATTTCGAGTACACCGATGGAGAGCTCCTAGGGCTACGCTGCCGCCATAAAGCACTTGGCTTTTGTCATCCAAGTCACGGTTGTGCTCGCGATGGAATCTCCATTTTCCAAAACTCGTAAACATGACTCTTCTCTTGCGCACTGTCCTAGTGCACACGCGTTCGGGGAGGAGAGATGGCGTTATCATGACGTTTTTCTCGGTGAAGAGCTTGCTCCAGACTGCCATGTTTGTCAGTGCTTGATGCCATGGAGTAACTGTCCAAGAAGCGCAGCCCACAGCGGACTTGTTTAGAGACCAAGCCCAAGTCGCACGCCAATAGACGTATTGCACGTGACTTCGAATACGAAAGGGTGTTGTTGAGTGAGCAGATGCCAACACTGCCTTCGGCACCTTCCGCTCAAGCACCAATACCCCACCTCTTCTTGTCCGTATGAACCTATGCAAGAACCAGATAGACACTGTACTAGTGATAAAGTTCGTCTTCACGAAGCCCAAAATCACTGTAAGCAAGCCGTATGTCTTGGCCGTGACCTTAAGCTTACGCCACTCTGCCCTAAATCGTAGACTCGCTTATTAAAGCCACCGCCGAGCTCTTTCTCGGACTATACCTGCCAGTTGCATGCGTTGATTCTTGTGGCGATGTTGGAGCTTCGCTTTCGCAATGACTGTGCGCAGTCACGGTCTGAACTTTTGAAGCTTGTTCTCGATTACTAACTTAGCGTAGACCCGACTGCTTATGCTACTCGGCCGATGACCAGGTCGATGTACGTCACTGGGAGGCTCGTGTGGAGATGTGGTGGTGTTGTACGTGCGCTTTCGCAGGTAAGAATCGAAACGGTCTGATCAGCCACACTGTGTTTGATAAGCAAAAGAACTGTCGCATACTGCCGTGTGAACAAACGAAGAGAACGGACTACTGTGAGTTGCGGTCAAGAAAGTAGTGCTCTAGAAATATACATTAGTTTGTTGCGAGTCGCAGTCACAACGACATGGGTTACAGAAGTATATATGATATTCTCGGCGTAGCGTCTAAGCTGCAAATAACCAGCGTATGCGTCTTGAGTAAACTAGGTAGAGGAGCTTGACGACTTGTTCCCATCATGTCGGCACAAACTCGGTAGTTCAAATTGACGTTAGTGGGGCAAAAAAGAAGAAAAAAAGGCAAAAACATACAACAGCGCGGATTCCCCGGTGGTCACCCACCCGAGTACTAATGCGCCGGTATCATGCTTGTATATGGCTGAGCGGACGGGAAGCCTAATTCTCATGATCCTATGGTCGTATGTGGAAGAACTGGTTGGAAAATATCGATATATTGGCAGGCCGACTGCACATTCGCGAGAACTCTGCGTCGACCCTAGCCCGCTTGATCCACTATGCTAGCCACCAGGAACTTCCTCGAAGAATTGCGTGGCCGTTGATTTGTGAAAGCTTCAAGTTTGACTGCGCACAAGATGACTTGCATCCTCTTTCCCTCAGTCTCGCCCTTAACGGGTTCGACGCGGATGCGCCAGTGCGCGCGTCTGACTGTCCATTGTTCGTCTTCGTCGTTGTGGAAGGATGGGCCTCCATCATCAGCCCAAAACCATTTGCCATTGTGGTTTGTGCTGCGAATGCCGTCGTGGTGGTATTCGTCGACTGCGAGCTCCGCTGGCGATCCGTCGACTTCCAGAGCGGTATCTCGATCGAGCCGTACACGCACGCGACGTTCGCTGACGCCTGAATTGGCCGGGCTGACAGGCTGGGCGGCGACTCCGGCACCGGATTGTAAGAACATCAGTCCTAACGGCTGTGTAGCAGGTAAACCCATCTTGGAAGCTATGACGGAGAAGAGGGAGGTCATTCGTGCGAGAGTGGAATCATGGAACGTTGCACGAAGTTCAATTCCATAGTCGCCAGATTCAGCCTCGAAAGTGTCGATATTGTTCCTTGGAAGATATAGCGTTGTTGCCTCCGTTGACGCAATTTCAACGATGAGAATGTTGCTTTGCGCATGGTCGTCCGTATATGGTCGAGCGTACGACACAAATCCCGCCTTCAAAACCGCACTGCTGCTTGCCGTTGATGGGTCGGGGCTTGCAACGTTGTTGACGAGTAGAGGGTTCGGTGGAACGCTTGCTGACTGCGCACCAGATACGGTTTCCGAACCCGACTCGCTTCCTGAACCCGACTCGCCGGGGTCTTTATCTGGAGTGAAGAAGATACCCGATTGTCGAATGTCTTCAAGACGGATCAGGATCTCAGATTCTTGACGTTTTAGGTTATACGATATGTCGCAAGGTATGAGCTTTTGCTCTAGGCCCTTGAGATGGAAGTATCGCGCATCTCTGAGTAGGCGAGAGCGATGCGCGTCGCTTCGGATCTCGACATTGTAGCCCTGCAGTAATTGTATCAGCTCGCGGAAGACCTCCCCGTCTCTACTCGGCACCGAAGGAGGCTTGATGGACGGCGGTCGAAGCAAGGCATCGCGGTCCAGTCCCGGGAATGCCTCGTTTGGCGTCGAGAAGAAATGCGCAAAGCCTAACGAGAAATAGTTCGGGCTGTCTCCGGGGCCAGAGAAGAGATCGCGTTGTATCTGGAAGGGTGTTCCTCCGATGCGCACGAAGATGTCGGTGCTGAACAGCTGTTTGGTGAGACGAGGCACTGCTGATGTTAGCATCTATTCCTTTTGCTATGGATGGCTAAGCTTACGCGAGTAGAACTGCGCATCTGCATACAGCTTGACGAAATGTTCGCCGTCTCTCGGTGTGATGTGGTAGCCCTGGAGGTGGAGCGCGATATCGCGAAATGTATCCGGATCGCGGTCGATGTACAGCGTCCTCACGTCACCGGCACGACCGCCATTGTCATGCAATTGCTGGCCGAAGAAATGCGAAAAGTGTGAGGGTGCTCTAATAGTCTTAGTTGCTGTTCCATTTTGATGTCTTCAGCGGATACTCACCATCTGACGAAATCGACGCTCCTGACAGCCTGAACAGCTCCGACCCAATCTGTATAGGGAACACCTTGCCGGCAGGAAGGATGTCGAGTGCGCCGGGCGACCCAGGCACTCTACGTGGTGTCGAGACATCGATGACCCTTCCCTGTGGCCCCGTACCTTTACTCTGCTCCTTCCGTCGCTCTGTATTTGTGTCCTCTCGTGACACTTGTCGGGGTGTGGCTTCGGAGGTGGCAGCGGTGCGCGTCATGGTCGGCGTTTGAGCGTCAGCCACGGCTGTTGCGGCTGGCGAAGCAGCTGAGGCGTCGGAGGGTTGTCGCGACACGTTCTGGCGCTTCGGGGGGTTCTCCGCTGCGGCACTGTCTTGCTGTGCGGCTGAAGGAGATTCTGTGTCGGCCTTCCTCTTCGTACCTGCTTGAACAGCCGGTCGCTGTTGCTGTTGTGCTGGAGCTGGTGGCAGCGGAGGCGACAGTTGGTTCTGGCTTTGCGCGACATTTGGCGCTGGAGTGACGCTCTGGCTCTGTGAGAATGCCTGGTACGCCGCTTCGCCTGCCGAGACAGGAAGCGGGATGTTGAAGTTGTTTATGACATCTGCCTGGCTTGGGTATTCTTGGACAAGTTCTCCCTGCGGCTCGTACTGGTCCGTGAAGTCAGTGAAGTCGATTGCGTCCCAGCCTGTAGGCACAGAGGAGCCAAAGCCCAAGCCTGCGAAGTGACCTGCCATCACTGGTTGCTGTGCCGCATTGTAGTCGTGATATCCCGCGACAAACTCATGGCTATGCGCCTGGCTCGCGGCCTCGGCTGTGTTTGTGTCGTGCTCGGCATGATAGGCACCGTAGAAGTGCTGCGGGTGCTGTTGCGGAGCTCCACCTGCTTGGTCATAGGTTTGAAATGCAAAATCGCGAGATGATGCGCCTGGGCGGTCGGACATTGGCTAGCTACACCGGAAATCCTTCGCATTAAGCGACGAAGAACCTAAATGCAGAAGCAAGTTGCGACTTGCACAGAAGGAGGAATGCTAGCCCTGCGTTGCTGATGAGAAGCTGACCAACAGCTGTGTCATGGGTAGCTTGCGGCTTCGTTACTCAATGCGGTTGGCTGCACCGGGGAAGGATCCTGAGGAACTCGAGAGAAAAACGTGGGGAATAGCGAAACCTCGTAGCAACGTCGCTGAGCTACTGAAATGGCCCAGGCGGCCATATAAGAAGGCATTGCGAGCTACTGATGGTGAGGCTGAGAGTGCCCAGGAAAGGCTGACATGCTGTAGATGTGCAGGTGCAGATGGGAGCTGGCAGTCGGGGAAGCGACGCCCGGCGGCATCACCGACAGCAAGCGGGGCTGACGTGAGAAACCCTCCATCGCACCAACATCGCACCTGGGCACCAACATCGCCCCATTACGCTAATGAGCGTATCCAAACCTGCATCCTCTAGAGAGACATACCTCTTAATGGTCTCCCGTTGCAAATGCCGTGACTGCAAGTCGGCTCCCGGATCCATTGTTCGATATCAGAACATCACTCTCAAGTTGGGTGAGTACCTCGCGGACCCACCAAGTCAAACTGATTGTTCTTGTCTCAATGCCATGTATACCTCTAAAGTCGTACCAACATCGCCCCGTTGCGCCCACTGAGCGGTATGCAAACCTGGACGCCAGATACCTGAGACACGTCCTGAATCCAGGCGGCTATTCCAACGACGTGTCAATTCCCAAATGCCTTGAACACAAATGTTCCACGTATCAACGTACCACGTTTACAGCCTATGGCATACCCAGGTACCATTACAATATCATAGTTGTACAAACAGACTAGCAGCACCTTATTCAAGAAAAAAGCTAGACACCCTAGAGCCTACGTTAATGTTAAGTTATGTGCTTTACACCTTTCTATGCTAATGTAGGCTCTATAGTAATATTTAAGTTATACACTCTTAGGGACAGTAACCCCGTGGGCCGATTACGAGAACTCTCTGCTATTATGCAAGACTGGAGACAGTACCTGAACAAACTTAGTTGGAGCTAACCTATCTACTAGGATATGAAACCTTAACAACGTCGATTGCGAAGATAAAAAAGACAAAAAGCTATTTCCAGGAGACGCGACATATGTCTATGAGTGCTAGGACAACTAGGGAAGCAAGTTGATAAGATAAAGCAACCTTTCTAATAATGCAACGGGGAGACATGACAAACAAATGATGAATATAGATTATGTCTCTAGCTATGTGACTGATATTGGAAGCATTGCACATGTGGTAGAACTGATAACATCGCCTTAAATCTTACAACAAACGATGTCCACGAGATATGACCCTCCGTTGACACCTCCTCTGCTTCCACTGAGTTGTTCTACAGCTTATCGCGTGCTCTTGCTAACCTTCTTAGTTACCCGCTGTGACCCGGCCGTTTCTGGGGTGGCGTCGTCTGAACGACGCTTAATGCGGGCTAATACCAGACATCTATGGGTGATCTGGAGATGAGCTTCAAGGTGGAGATTGTCTATTTCCTTCTCTTTCGTACAGGTTAACGGGAAGCATGGGCAGGTGACGAGCGAGTTGCTAACAGATTTGAGGTGGCCGCGGATATGCTTTGGGTGGCTCTCGCGGGTGAATGTCGCGATGCGTTCGTGGGCTGGAAGAGACTCGTTATGAGCACAGAAAGGGCACAATCTTGGTATTAGATCGCGTCCTATCTTTACTCCACAGTATCCGTGCATTATGATCGTGGTTTGCACCGTGTCTAGATGTGTGACTGCGTGAGAGATGGCCTCGGCGGGGTTGACTAGCTATTGGTTACAGATCCGACACATTTCTGCGACTGGAGCCTTGGAGCTAGTGATCCCGTGGGCCGACCACAAGTGGACTGTCCTGTCTTGGCCGTATCTTTAGCCTTCGACCTGTGCTTGCAACCTTAGCGGGGAGTCGTAGAGACCGAAGATCGTTCTAGCTTCGGATATCGTCTATTATAGCTAGCGTGAGCAGTAGACGCAGTGTATTCTGAAGCGCTATGGACGTCGGCAGCAGGCCAGGAAATGGTAGCGTCTTGTAGGCCGAGTCGTCGAGTGTTTTGCCTTTTGCCTATCTGATCTTGACCTGGGCTCGGATGTCGAACTCGTTATCGTTGTCGCACTGGAAAGAGTAGAACTCTATATCCTCCCATCGCAGACACATATACTTAGGTCGTACGGGATTGCGCGCGAACTTATCCCCTCTGCTACATGTGTCGACGACGAGAAGCATGTACAGCGTGAGGTTTAGGACTAACCTTATGCTCCCAAACGTTGACAAGTAGTTGGGCTGGTACAGCATTGTGATGATGAATGTTAGGTCGTCCGAATGCGCGACGGCCTTGGTCTTCATCCGGGTGCTGAGGTTTTCGTTAGATGCTAGTTGATTGTCGATGAAGTTCCGCACGTTATCCCGGATGGACGATATCTTATACTTGCCTAGGTGGTATGCCGGCACTTATACTTGGTTGTGTAGCTCTACCAAAAGCTGTAGTAGGACAGCTTAAGAAATCTAGAATCTACATAGTGTAGAGGAATATATAGTGTCTAACCGCGAAGATTACGTTTAACTTAGTAGACCCGGGAGTTACTTAGCGATTTTAAGAGCGTTGTCTAATGTCGGACACAGAATCCTAGCGCCGACTTGTAGTGTTAATACATGTTCTTAATGCCGTCGTAGTACTTTATAGCCTTCTAGGAGCGGGTGTACTTAAATGTTAAGATAAATTAAGCACGTCGTATTAAGCAAGTGTTGTTAGCGGAATTGTTGCATCTTAGACTGCAAACACGCGGAGATATCTCTCTTAAAGTACTCTGTATTACATAGTTAACTTTTAGAGAGAATTAAGAGAAGAGAAGTAGTATAAAATAGTTAGGCAAAAGAGCTCTTAACCTAGACTCTCTAGTCTAAGTTAGAATAACTTACCTATGTATACCTACTTAATGTAGCTCTTAAGCCTACTAAGGCTATATAGCGCCTTAGACGCCTACTACTTTAAGTAGCTACTTAGCTAGTACTTTTATAATATACTTATACTTATATTTACTTACTATATACTTACTATATACTTCTTTTATATACTATCTTATATACTATATAATATATAATTACTTTATACTATATATATTATATTATATTATATATATATATATATATACTAATATACTAAATATAGCTTTATATTTAGCTACTTTTATAAAAATACTATTACTAGTAATATTATAATACTATTACTATTACTACTTACTACTTTACTATATAAATACTTATACTAATATAAAACTTAACTAATATATTATACTACGCGTTTTATAAATACTTAGATACTTAAGTATAATACTAAACTATTTTAATTTTTTATAGCTTTTATTTATACTTTATAATTTAATATTATCTTTCTTTTTAACTTACTTTTACTTTTACTCTTTAGATTAAGTTTACTTAATATATACTATACTAGCTTATTTAATCTTTAAATAGCTTTTAATCTAAACTCTTTAGTCTAAGTTAGAATAATCTATCTATATATATTTACTTAACTCTTAAGCTTTTAAGTCTACTAAGGCTATATAGTACTTTAGGCGCTTACTACCTTAGATAGCTACTTAGCTAGTACTTTTATAATATACTTATACTTATCTACTATATATCTATCTTATATACTACTTTATATACTATATAATATATAATTACTTTATACTATATATATTATATTATATTATATATATATACTAATATACTAAATATAGCTTTATATTTAGCTACTTTTATAAAAATACTATTACTAGTAATATTATAATACTATTACTATTACTATTATATATAAATACTTATACTAATATAATACTTAACTAATATATTATACTACGCGCTTTATAAATACTTAGATACTTAAGTATAATACTAAATTATTTTATACTTTAATAGTATTTATCTAGATTCTTTACTTACTAGTTATTTTATTTTTATTTAAAACTATACTACTACTCTTTAAATTAAGAATACTTAGTACTTTTTTTACTAGCTTCTTTAGCTACTTTAGCTACTTACTTATAAAGCTATTATTATATATTACTTTTACTTACTATTAGCTTTTATTTATTATTTACTATTTACTCTTTATACTTATATACTTTATATCTTAATATTTTTAAAAAACTACTTAAATAACTTTAGAATTTATATATTTAATAAATTCTTTACTTTTTTTTTATAACTTACTATCTTTACTTTCTTTTACTTTTTAATAGTTTTAATATTTAAATTTATAAAATTTACTACTTATAAAAGCTTATATATAAGTTTTTCTTTACTAGTTTTTTTTATACTTAATTAGCGCCTATATATATATATATATATACTTTTATAATACTTACTAGCTTTCTTAAGTAGTTTTATAGAAATTAGCTATATACTTTAGCTTACTTATTAGTTTTTTATTTTAGATAAAATATTTAAAAATATATTTTTTTATACTAAATAAAGTTTTTTTAAAGTATACTTTTTACTACTATATTTTTATAACTATACTTTTATAACTATACTTCTTTTTTAGCTTTTTTCTCTTTAGCTCTTTAGCTACTATACTCTAATATATAACTTAAATTAATTTAAAATATTTACTATATTTTAGCTACTTAACTTATACTTACTTTATTTATACTTTTTATTTTATTTATAGCTATAATAATTATATTTACTATTTCTTTTTAATTTTTAAAGCTATATATCTATAAAAAGATTATAAACCTTTATATACTATTAGTACTTACTTACTTCTAAACTTTATATATATATATATATATATATATATATACCTTATACTTTTATATCTTTAATAAACTTCTTAAATAACTTTATAAGCTTTATATTTAATAGTAAACTTATTCTTCTAGTATTTACTATTTTTATACTTTTTCTTCTTATAATAGTTACTATATTTAGATTTATAAAATCTACTATTTATAAGAACTTAAATCTTTTTATACTTAATTAGTATTTATATATATATAGTAGTATATACTTTACTTACTTAGCTTTTTAAAATACTATATAGAAATTACTTATATTATTTTATTTTACTTTAAACTTTAAATAAAATATATTTAAATAAAAAATATTTAAAAATATATTTTTTTATACTAAATAAAGTTCTTTTAAAGTATACTTTTTACTACTATACTTTTATAACTATACTTTTAATTAGCTTTTTCTTAGCTTTTTAGCTACTATAGTTTAATATATAACTTAAATTAATCTAAATCTCTACTATATTCTAGCTATCTAACTTATAATTACTACTTTTATACTTTTTATTCTATTTGCAGCTACTATAATTACGCTTACTACCTCTTCTTAGTTAGGTAAGAGAATTTAATAGTCTTAAGAGCTATTAGATTACACAATTTAACGTTATAATAGTGTTAGATATACTCTATAACGTGCTAATGCCTTTTACTAGTGCTATAGAGCCGGCACTTAGGCGGCATTGTATTACTCGAAGATGTTAGATCTACAACTGCTATTTTGTGGTCTAGAACTAGAGGTGTAGTACAAGTTGCTATATTGAAGAAGTACGCTTTGTATCCGTCCAGACGATACGACTTGCTTCTAGACCTTAGATTCCCCATGGGCATGAAGTCTTTGATGTTAAGAACATCATCAGCATTATTGAATGCCCGGTCTTCAACGCCGTTCAGTTTCACGTGGAATGCAGTGCTTGGACATTATGAGTTGGGTCTATTGTGCAGTATGTTTCCTACTCGATCGTACTGTTACATAAAATCGCCGTCTAAGCGAAGCAAGATCTAACTTGAATGACTGCAAATAAACGCAAAACACATAGAAGAAATGTGATATCGAACAAACCCATGCCAGCCATTATGCAAGAAAAGACAGACTTTTTGTGTGACAAGTCCACCTCGAGACCCGCTGTCCTGGCTGTCTTGGTATCATCTCCTCCGTCACTCTCTCCGCATCGCACAAGACGAAAACTTAGTTAGTCTTAGCGATTTCTACTCCGCCTGTAGCACCTAGTGCCTTCTTGATATCACCTTCCCGGAGTTAGCTTTGGGCGCGACAGAAGGCGTTGAGAAAAAAACTTACCGTAGATGGCGAACTGACCAGCGGTCAGGGTACCGACCATGAAAAGACGGGCACCGATACCACCGAAAGATCCGCGGAGACCGAGCTCCTTGGCGATCTTAATCAAACGGGAGGTGGTTCCCTCTCCGGGAAGACCCTTGGTCTTGTTAATCCTGGAGAGCATGGTGTCGGCGGGCTGGGAGATGATGGCGGCGGCGAAACCGGCAATGATACCAGAGCCCAAGTTGTAGACGGTCTGCATGCCGTTGGAGGTTTGGCTCTTGTCGACGACAGAGTAGACGGCCTCGTTGACCTTCTCGAAGACGGCGAACTTGGCCATGGTGTAGGGGACCCTGATGGATGATTAGCCAAAAATCAACTCCCAATCAGAGGAATTGTACATACTGCTTGAACAGGATGGGTCCGAAACCAGAGTAGAAGGCACCGACACCCTCGGTCTTCAGGATCTTGGAGAATCCACCAACGAGACCGTTGGCGAAGGTTGGGTCACCGACGAGACGGATACGGGTAGCCTCGAGAGGGCAGAGGGCGACATCGGCGAAGAACTCAGCGACAGCGGCAGAGGCGAGGTAGACGGCAGTGCGGTTGTTGGCGGCAGTCTCGTAACCGACAAGGTTGATGGACTGCTGCTTGAAGAACTCGTAACCTCCGAACTTGAAGGCACCCTGGAGGAAGTAACCGGCAGCGGTAGGACCGAAACCGGTCCAGACAGCGCCCATACCCTCATTGGCGATGGTCTTGCGGAAGCCACCGATCAGACCGGTGTTGTAGGTGGCGGGGTCAAGTTGTATCCTGGTCTTGACGCTGTTGCACATGTCAGCTTGGCATTCTGTCGTCATTTTCGATACCTGTCAACTGTCGCAAAGCGTGTGCGATGCAGCCATTGGCATCGTCCCGAGCCATTGGGGGGCGGCACAACGTACACATCGACGGGTGTGAGGGCTCCGTGGGTGACGGAGCAGCAGACGGCACCGGCGAAAGCGAATCGCGAGTACAGGGCCAGGCCAGTGGGCGCGGTAGGGTCGGCGGCCGCAAGCTTAGCCTTTGCGGCATCGACCTTGCTGGAGCCGGTGGCGGTGGGGGGAGGAGAGGTGGCCATTTCGCTGGTATGGAACGTAGAAGCGAAGGAAGTGGAGTGGAGAGGTTTGGTGGTGGTGAAGATGGACAGGCGGAGATTAGAAAGCCGCGATAGTTGATGAGAAGTTTTGTGCTTGGCGCTGGACCCGTTCTTTCCCGACTGCAATCCGGATATCCGCCCTGCAGCACACCCTCCATTCACATCACCGCGCCTTAGTGCGTGCCACCGGTATCAATTAATCCCGCACCCGAATTCCGATGCGCAGGGTGGTGCTGTAGCAGTACTAAATTTGCGCATTATTCTACATCGCTCAAGCCAGGCACCGCTGACGTCCAGCCTTATGAGACGCAAAAATTGACATGCGTCAAGCGACGTACTGAGATCGATCGGAATCAGAAACCTCAACAACCGGAAATAAGGGCGTTATCTCCGCCAGCATCGCCAACTTCCTTTCGCCCTCTTACTCCTCCTCTTGGATCTCGTTGCTGCTATTCGGACTTTCCTCGCGATTGATCAGGCGTGTCAATCCAGCCAGGTCGTCGCGTTTCGCCGTTACAGCTTCCAGCAATTCACGCATGGGTTGCCCTATCAGCCCGAGCTGCTCGAGCATCTGCTTCGCTGCTCGACGTGTGTCCGTCACGCCTTTTAGTGTCTCTTCGATTACCGTCGCCGTGACGGGGTCGTTGAGGCGCGCCGTCATTACCTTTTTCCTCTCATCCTTATCGAGACCCTTCAGATCAGCACCAGCGAGCTTCACCATCCGGAACAACACGGTGTCATGAACTGTTTTCATGTCTTGCGCATTGTTTAAGGTCACTTCCAGCTTGGTCTCCAGATGCGGGAAGTGCTCTGCGAACTCATGGTTGAGACTGTCGTAGTCGTCTGCGTTGTTACATGCGTCAAATATCTCCTCCTGCGATAGAGTGTAGACGCCTGGATGAGGTTCTCCAGAGTCCCGTGGCTGTGCTGATCGAAGTACAGCCAGATCCAGCAGCTCGTCGATTTCGGCCTTTTTCAACTCGTTCCGCGCGCACTGGATCTTGGCCATCAGTCCTTGTCGCGCTCTTTCTGCCAGCTTCCTGTTATAGGCTCTCCATTTGGTCTCGCATCGTTTGACTTCCTCCTTGTTATCATCTTCCTCTGCATTCTTTTTGTTCCTTTGATACGCACGTCTCTTCTTCTCACGGTCGAATCGGTGCTCCAGCTGCTCCTGTCCGCTCAACACCTTGAGAGCAAGGTATATGCCATCGTCCTTATTGGCAAGCTCAAACTCCTTCTGTCGGATATGCGCTAACATAATAATGAGCATGTTAAACGGATCCTGAGTCTTGAAATCTTTGGTTTCTGGCCGGTATGCGTGAATGGCTTTCAGTAGTTGACGTTGAGAAGGTTCCAGGATACCATTCTGTCCAGTTTCATTGTCCTGGTTGCTATTTCTGTTGTCACTGACAATCGCCAAGATCTGGTCGACAACCTTCACTCTTTCCCTGAGAGCAGCAACAAAGGCCTGGCGCTCGGTCGAGTCACTGTTACGCTTGTCGGCAATGCGCTTGTTCCAAGTGAGTATTACGTCTAACATGTGTTCTTCTGACTCTTCGGTTTCCAACAGTAGTGGCTCTAAACGTAACGGAGCAAGTAAGTCGTCGAATACCCGGTCACTTGATCCGTCTGCGTTCCTGATTCGCTCCAGGACTGAGGTATCCATGCCTGGCTCATCAGCCCTTAACGCCGCTGCCACATCCCGGTACTGCTTTCCGTCCGCCACTTCTTCATCGATGTCAAGATACGGTGGGCATGAAGCGTTTTCTTCTCGACATAGGTCGTCGAGTCGGGCTATGATGTCCTCGAGATCGACGTCCGACGCCTCGTATTCATCATCATGTCGAGTCGAAGAGGGCACTGTGCTGCCCCTTTCGAAAGTAAAGCGCTCATCGAAATGTTCCTGTTCGCAGTCATCGGCAGTGTTTGGATTGGCCTGACGCAACCGTTCGCGCATCCGCGCTAGAGCCTCCGACCCACGTAAACTCCTCGCACTGATTGGTGGTACATCAGTACCATACATTAAAGCATCGTAAGCTGACTGACGTTCTAACATTTTATTGGGGATAATACTGGTGCAGGTTCTGCGTGCACATGACCATGGTTGTGGACTACATATGGATACTCTAGTCGTCACTGCCTTCACAATCAATGCTACACCAATAGCGTGGGATGCGGAATTCATACCCGCGCGGTGATGTCTACGCATCGAAACAATCACAGCACGAGTTCTTCCTGCTCAGTCTACCTATGCTAATCACATGGCTGAGGTGCGTCGAATGGGCCAATCCACACCAGTGTGATTTTCGACACAACCATGGATCGCGCATGTCTACACTGGATCGCATGTCACGTCCACGGTTCACCATATTCATCAGAGTATATAAACAGAGGCCGCCGTGACTATTTCAAAATTCCACATTCAACTCTACACAAAACTCTTTCACACACAAGTCTTTCACAAAAGTCACAAGGCCCTTCAAAAGCACTCTTCACACAACGCTTTTCATCCACCACCACCCGAAACCAGCCAAGGTTCCAGTCATGTTGCTCTCACAGCTCGTCCACGCGCACCTCAATACCATCAAGTCAAAAGCTCAAGAGCCAAAACACGCCGAAGGGTACGAGCTCGACCTCATGCCATCTGAGCCGCATTCCTCGCCGTCTCCGTTCCCGTCGGCCCATCCTTCAAGGGCTTCGTCACGAACTGCATCGCGGACATCATCGCGGACATCATCACGAACTTCTTCACGGACATCGTCACGAAACTCATCGCGGACATCGTCTTCAAAATCTTCACTGTATTCGGTATCAACATATTCAACAATGTCGACTACGTCCCTCGACACCGCGTCCTCTGACGCGACAACATCAGAGTCGCAACAATCAGGCTTCTCTTCACGCGCAAACAGCCCAGAGATCGACATGAACGAATGGGAAGACGTCGACCTCACAGACCGCGCCACCTTGGGACGTGCTTCACACTCCAAACTGTTGTTGAGGGTGATGCAGTACCTGCGATCGCGTACTAAGCCGCGCATGCCCGCGACGCCGGTACTGCGACCCACGCATGATGAGGAGGCTATGTTGGAGGTTCCGGCTTGGCATTTGGAGGGATAGGATTGGTCTGCTTGTTCTTGGACCTTGGTTCAAGCGGCTCGCCAGCTTACAGTCGGATGCATAGACACGAAGTTGTTTGGCAATCGGGATCTTGGAGTTGCTGCTGTTTGGACTTTCTGGTAAACTAGTGAACCCCACGAACGAATCGAAATCCTCCATAAAGTAATCGCAAATGAGAAGAGAAAAAGACAGAACCCTTCCACTGTGATTGAATGTCAAAACCCCTCCTCTCCATGATCTAAACTCCCCTCCGTCTCTCCATCCATCCCCCCTACCTCGCCACCCCAACCCCCCTCCCAAACCACCCCCACTCTACCGCCACAACCCACTAACCGTCTCCACCCCCCTCTCAACCACAGCCTTAACCCTCGCCCTCAACGCATTATTCGCACACTCGACCTCCAAATCCTCCAACCAAACCTTGGCCACAAACCTATCAAACTTGATCTCCACACCCGGAACGGGTATACCCAGATTATGCAGTCGCTTCAACTCCGTCTTGTCCTCCGCCGATAACTGGTCGTCTGGCGCGATGGGAGGGGGGAACGCGGTGATGTTGGATATGTTGGATGGCTCCGTGGAGTCGGGGGAGGAGGTAGAGGTATCCATGGTGTCTGGGTTGGTGTCTGGGTTGGCGGCGGCGGGAGTACCGTTTGTAGTGGCGGTTGTGGTGCTGTTGCGGGGGAGGGTGATGGGGCGGACGGCTTCTTCGCCGAATTGGGCTTCGAGGAAGAGGAAGAGGCGGGCTAGGCGCGTGGAGGGGTCGGTGGTGCGGTGGGGGTGTGGCTTTTTGAAGCGGTGGGTTAATTTTGTGGTGGTGATTTCGTCGTCGGCTTCTGGTTGGGGCGTGTGGCTGTGGGAGTGCTGTTTTGAGGATTCTGGGGGAGTGGGTTAGTAAGAGGGTTGAATGGGGCTGGAGGGGAGGGAGACTTACGTCGGACAGCTGCTGGTGAGGACTCGACTGTGAAGAGGACGGCGAGGACGGCGTCGGCGATACCGTCGTTGATTACGTTGCCTTCCCATTCTACTTCTACTCTTCCTCCGTTCTTGATTAGGACGTTTACGCAGTCCATAACTGTGAACTTTGTTTCTGTGCGGCTGACTTCTTCGTCTGCTTCCTCTTTGTGACTTGTGCCGTTGCCGTTCATCTTGCCGTCAACGGCAGCATCTGTGAGACTGCTCTCTTTGATTGCGCCAAAGGTTCCTTCGAGGGCCCATCGTATGAGATCGATACCGGCGGCTGATAGGGTAAGGTGCTGACGGCACATGATGGTTGTTGTAGTCAGACCGGCATATTCCTTGAGATCCTCGGGCGCCATGAGAGAGATCTTGAAGTCGTTCTGGATGAGAACTCCACTGATCATATCCACCTTTTCCCCTTCTTGGTCTTCAGCAGTCTCACCCTCACCATTGGAAGACAGAGAGCGAGGTAAAGGCGGAGCAATAGATGCCAGCTTTCCGACTACCTTGGCGATCTTATCGGTCTTGAACGGAATGCGAAGTTCCTCGCAGTTGGCGGGCGAGTATATCTTTGTGGGTACGGCTTTCTGGGCGTTGAAGGAAAGAAGTTTAGACTTCAGGCGTGTCATATTACCCTTTTCGCCGTGAACAAGAATCTGAGATTCAGTAAGTAAGTGGTCTTCACCATGGATGTGGACTAAGCTAGACTTACAACGACAGGAGCGGCGACTTCTTGCACAAACTCCATGTTCTCTTTACCATCAACGTGTGCTGCAAAACTGTACTCCTGGACTGTGCACCGTCGGGGAATCATGGCCTGCTCATTCTCCCTCTGACCTGGCCGACGTGCTGCGTTACTAGCACGGGACATGATTGCTGGGATCTGGTCCGGCTCGTGAACAATTTGTTTCGCCATGGTGCCCTCGACGGAGTAACCGGTGATAATGACACCGTTCCTTGGGTCGGGCGCCCATCGCTCAAGCAGCTCGCGCGACGTGCCGGACTGCATCATACCCGGCGAGGCAAGCATGACACATCCACCTAGATCGTCGAAGCGCTCTAGACTCTTGAGCGAACGGACAAACTTGAAGTCCCAAGCTCCACGTCGACCGGTGTCACCCGCGGCTTCGGCTTCGGCCATGCGCTCGGCGAAAAGACGTTTGATGTTGTCGTTCATGGCCGAGACGTACGTTTGGTAGACCTGCATACACTTACGAGCTAAGCTGGAGTTGTAGTATATGGGTATCTTCTGAACTTCTGGGTGCTTGCTCCAATATTCGTCGAGAATGAGAAGAAGTTCCTGGGCTCTACCCAGGGCGAAGACTGGAAGTAGAGCACGACCTCCGCGGTTGAGAACGTCGGTGATAGCCTTCATGAGCTGTGCCTCTCGCTCGACACGCGGCGTATGCATCGAGATACCGAATGTTGACTCGGTGATGAGGACGTCAATCTTTACGCCCGGAGGTACCGACGCTGATACCAAATGTCGGTCGTCTTCTCGCGAGTAGTCGCCGGTGAAGAGTATCTTTAGGCCTGCAATCTCCATAAGGAACATGGCCGCTCCAAGTACGTGACCAGCTGGGTATGGTGTTATCCGTACACCGGATACGGTGTGGGTGGTGTAAAAGTCGATTGACTCAATCATAGGATAGGTGTTGAGATGGTCCGCCTCAGTGTACATTTGGATCTTTGTCTCGGAATTGCTCGACATGTTACCGACACGGACAGAGTCTTGGATGAGCCATTTGTAGATGGCCTTGGTCGGATGTGTCATGAAAACGCGGCCCTTGAAGTTGGTCTTCGCAAGTACATAGGGTAGAGATGCAGCATGGTCGACGTGGAAACTAGCCTGATGTCAGCATGCTGGAGGACGACTGGAGGACTCAGGGTGAGCCCGGAAGAAGCGCCCAAAGTTGTAGATACATTCGTGGGAACCAGGGAGGGGCACATCATCGAAGTCGAGCGGGAGGAAGCAAATTATATTCCATTCATAGTGATATACAAGTCGCTGTATTGCGAGTGCCCTTTGCGCGCTCATGGTCCGACTCCAGTGATGCGCCGAACCCCAACTACCAAGGCAAGCAAGACGCGCGTATACATACTGTGAAATTAGTAGCACGTCTACGGTGCTAAGATCGAAATCATCGTAAAATGGCATGGCGGACAAGCCTTCGTGTGCGGGATGCATACCGGCATCAAGCTGTCCCTCGTTAGTATGGGTGCCGTAGAGTATGCGAGTCCTGAATGCGCACCATGACGGTCTTGCCCTTGTACTGGATGATGTGACACGAGCGGCCGACCTCGTTACCGCCTCCTAAGCAGAGGAACATGAGCTCGTCGGAGGGATCTATTGGGTCTTCATCTTCGGGCGCCATAGCTGTCGCCTTTCTCTTCGACGCCATAGTTGTGTGGGTTGAGATGTGGATGTGTTACTAGGTGGTATACGGGCGACGGAGGTGAGGCTACGGGGTTGGTGGATGCCCAGGTGGTAGCCGGAGAAGAACGCGTAAGATATCTATAAACCGCGCCTGGACCTAGCTCATTAATCGTGAATTGGTGTCGCAGGGATATTCAACGCCTCAATGGAGAATCCCAAGTGTGAGAGAGAAGTCGTGGCAGTGTCGAGTGAGAGCGGAGTGGTAGTTGGTAGACCGTTGCGGCTCTCTTTGTCTGGCGCGCGACTGCCAAGACTTTGTCCGTGCTCGTCATTCCCAGATTCATCGTCCGCTCTGTCAACCGCGACATCACCAACCCCGACGCGCCTGCCAACTCCACCCACCGCGCCTGCCCACCGAACACGTCCCATCGCAAGCGCTACCGAGCCCCGAAGATACTGCCGCCGGATGACGCGCCGATAGAAACCCTCTGCCAGCGCGACTCCCCGAAAGGGACGAGCTGCCCACCATGGCCTACCCGAACAACTACCAGTATCCGCCGCCGGGCCAGCAGCCCCCCCCGCCCGTGCAAACGCAGAATCTGGGCCACCAGCAACAGCCGCGCGCTTTCTCACCGCAGAATTACCAGCAGTCGCCTACCGCCCTGTCCCCGACCATGGGCAGCGGCATTCCTCCGAATAAGCGACAGCGCCTGTCGCCAAACCCGCCATCGCCTGCGCCGTACCAGTCGCCGTTTGGCATGCCTGGCGCGCCCCAATACCCTCCCTCGCCGTATACCGCTTCCCCTCAGACGCCTGGCTACCACTCGCTACCCACCTCGCCCGCCGCGATGCAGCCTCCGCCCTTCCATCAGCCCCAGCCGTATCAGCACCCGAATGGACAGCCGCCCGCGCCCCAGGGCTCTATGCCGCCACCCAAGGTCCCTTATAGCAAGACTGGCGATAGTTCGGAATTAGAAAAGGCGAATGCGCGCGACCTGGACGTCAATAACATTAGCGATGTGCTCACAGGATCTGGTATCGATCTGCGCGCCGAGGAGGACAACCTGCTGCACAACTACAGGAGCTTCAACTCGCAAGCATCGGGCTCCACAGCATCACCACATGCCAGCTTCAATAACTGGAGCCAGCAGTCGGGCCATGGCGCATTCCAAGGGACCGGCGCACTTAGTCAAGAAATGACCAAGGAGCAGCACGAAGCCGAGTTCATCAGGAAGCACGAGCAAGCCGCCAGGATCCTGAACGAGTCAGCCCAGCAGCCACTGAATGACCCGTTCCTGTCAGCAAGTGTCCTAAGACATCGCATCGCGAAACGTGGCTATGAGCACGGTATCCAGATCAATGTCGATGGCTTGTTTGACAAGATCCCAGATAAGGGACAGCAAGAGATCGCACGTACCACAGCAGCTGGTGCCAACGGCGAACAAATCGTAGGCTTGGAGGCTGCCAGTCTACTGAACCAGAACGCTCCACTTGTGGAGATTCTGACGCTGATATCGCTGGCTGCCGAGGAGCGTGTCCGGACCATAGTGGAGGATTCTTTTGCTTTATGCCAAGGTCGTCAGAATACTTCTCATGGCATCATTCCCCCACAGATGCTTGATCTTGCTGTGGTGGATGAGGGCGCATCAGAGAAGATGGCTCCGCCAGTCAACATCTTGAAGACGCCATGGGAGGCAACAGACAGTGCTGTCAGCCCTACAGCGACAGCCAGCAAGGGTATGTTTGTTTTGAACATTTTTCAATTTATTGCTAATCGACTTAGGCGTCCCCAATGCGGGACGATTGCCAACGCCTCCAAGCGAAGCACCCCCAACCCCTCAGCGAACATACCAAAACGTCAACCACGTTGCCATTGCACTTACGAAGCGCGTCAATGACGACTACAAGTGGGAGCAGGAGCGCCTCCGCAAGCGCGCGAAGCGTCAAGCAGGCGCCTCAGCTTCCTCAGCAGATGCGCCAGCTGCACCAATACCCATGCCGGAACCTGTGACAAAGAAGGCTTTGGCATTCGCCAAGAAGCAAAGTCAGTCGGACGTCGTCGTATTTGGCAAAGCCAACGAGACCGCCAGTATGGCACTTGGTGGCAAGAAGAAGAAATACTCGTGGATGACGGGCGGTGGTGGAGGACCAGCGTCAGGTGCATCTACACCGCGACCGGCTGCAGCAACAGGTGGTAGTGGCGCCGCTACACCTGCGGTCCAAGCGCCTGAAAAGGCTCTCATGGGCAAGAAGCGCAAGTTCGGCGACACAATTGAGCAGACCGAAACAGGCGCCGGTATCCAGCTTCGTGATTTGATTCACGTGCTAGATAACGACGGAAGAGAGAAGAAGACGCTCACGGTCATCCTGGCGCGTCTCAAGAACACAGAAAAGGACACCAAGCCTGAGGTCAACAAGGCGGCGCCTGCTGTACCTGGCCCAGGTCTAAGAGCTTAGGTTCTACCTTATTTGCATTATCAGCGTTGGCGTTAAACGGAGGGATGTCAAGTGGAGAGGACAGAACTTGTGACACATTATTTGCATTATATCCCCAAGGGCTGGGGTAAAACTTTCATCGATGAGAGATGAATGATTGGGTACCTTCGAATGGAATGGGTTTCGTGTTAAAGGTATCACGTTCAATGGGGCGTAGTAACTGATCAAGCACCTTATAGTAATGTGCACCAAAAACTTTCGAAACATGTTCCCTCAAACGCTTACGCTCAGATCGTCTAATACGCCCAAAGTTCGCACCTCTCTATGACTACAATGATGACGGCAAACAGAAATTGACCAACAGCGAAGATAAAACTCCCGATGGTGGGGGCCGCTCCCCATTTTTGTTCTCCTTTCCCGAGACCCAAATACAGAAACGTCAACAAAAGGGCGATGAAGGCAATCAAAGATTCGCATGTCAGTATGAATCTAAGATTCAGCTTTTCCACAATCTCAAAGCCAAAGCCCGTAGGATAACCTTTGTTAGGCATGAACCTCAGGCGACCTTTGCGTTTGGGTGAGCGCGCAAAGCATTGTCTTTCGTGTACCGTTCCCAAAGATTCTTCATGTACCGAGCTACCCGGATCCCAGTAAAGCGAGGTGAGTTGCGCAGAGTGCAGAAGAGGGGGTTCAGGGAGGGGCATTGGGGGCCAGTAGCTGAAAACGTACTCTTCCGGTCGGTTGAATATGTCGGGCATGGTATCCACCGGATTGCCGGTGTCGATGATGCGGACGTTGGTTTTGTTGTAAAGCTCATACTTTACGGGTCGGACAGAGTTGACCATGAAGATCGCACGCCAGTAGGGGCGTCGCTCGCGGTAGACGCGGTTCAATAGGTAGGCTAGGTCGTAGTCGGTTTCGTACTGGGTTACTTGTAATGGAACTTGCTTCTTGTTCGCTAGGCCGGCGGGTATGATGATGTGAAGGAAAAGTTCTGCCGCTTCGATGTCGGGCTCTTCAGTTTCCGTACTGTCGTAATCCAGGCTTTGTAATTCTGTGCCTTCATCATTATCGTTCCCATCGTTTTGTTGCCACTCATTACTGGGTCCGCCGAGGCCGGGATTGACACCATGATCTGAATCTCTGCTGACTTCCGTTTCGTCCGACTGACCTCGTCTGGAGTAGTCTGATGTCGCTTCACGTGCGCCACTCGATAGGCTGGCGTTCTGACCAACGAGTTCGTGGTTCAAGGCGTTATGGGGTTCGAGACGTTGGTGTGTCGGTTCGGCGGGCGCTAAGGTGGTGTCCCTGAAGCAAGGGATGATGGAAGTCACGCATCGATGCCAGGTAGAGTAACAAGTTCGCGTAAATCTTGCAGTGAGCTTGATCCAAGGGTTGAGTGAGGCGTAGTCCAAAGCGATGCGAGGTTGTATCACACCCTCGGCTATAGAGAACTCGTTCTCATACTTGTGTGCCGACATGATGTATAGAACGAAGAGACCCAGCATGGTAAGGAGAAGTCCACATGTGGCCAGAGAAACACTGAGATAACTAAAACACTCAACAATACCTGCTCCCCATACTTCTTCTCTGCTAGTGTTGAGTACTCGGTGCATGTGAATCTTTGAAGGGTCTGTCAGCCGTGGCAGGCTACGCAACATCATGGAACTGTCTTCGTGGAGGCGATTAATGTTATCGAACTCTAACGCCAGATTTTTAGGGTGCACCGGGGCCATGTATGTTACTGGTCTTGGCTCGAATGGATATTCTGTATGATCTTCTGATGGTAGATCATCGTATCTCATATTGGCCACTTGATTGTCCTCGATCGTGATCTTAGCGAATGTAAGCTGAGTGTGTAATGAGATTACCTCAAGCGGAATCAGACACGTACTTTCACATAATTTATCCCTTCAACCCTCATAAGATTTCTTCGCCAACCGGTTTCCTTTTTACGCGCGTCACGTAATTCGTGGAGAAGATCATCGTCAGATTTTAAGTCGTCTGTTTGAAGTACTTCCCACCCTGTAAGAAGAGAATCTGGCATCTCCACGCATACAATTCCAAGGCCACTAGGGTTGACAGAGGATGATGAGAATCTCTGATGAGTAGGCAATCCAAATTCTCGGGCCTGCTTGGACGGCGCGTCGGATACTGAAGCATCCTGGGATACTTGTATTGGGGCGACCAGCAGCGCTTTGTCGGAAGTCGAGGATTTGTACTCTGCCCCATGGCTCTGGCATGAATAGAGATGTTGGCATGAAACGGGTTCTATGAGAGAACATGATATGCCCGGGCTTCCCGGTAATTCAAATTCACGCCAATACTGCCCCGATTGGAGAATAATTGGGGAGGCAGTAGTCTCCGGTGCCCTACAACGTGACTCAGTAATGAAGTCAACCTACTTAGGTAGTTTGGCTTTTACATACAAGTTCGATGGTTTGCGTTCATTCAAAGAAGTGTGGCTTGAAAACTCTAGGGAGCTGCCGGATGTGTAGGACGCCGGAAAATTGTGTGTGGGGCGAGGCAAACATGGGTATGTTGTAACCGCGATGGTGTTACTGCCGTAAGCAGCTGGAGGTGTTGGTACTGCTGAAGGCATAGGAACAGGATGCTATAGATTCAGAACAACGGCCTACTCAAAGCTTCTTAGCTGTAGTGCATGCAAGCAGTACTTGAGAAGAATTAGCTGCTGTCGGAAATGTGTTTTCGCGCCAAGAGAGGTCCTTCATCTGAGCTGTCGCGTGCCCAGAGGCGATTGGCTGCAACACCAATGACCGCATACCTAGGTAGGTAGTCTGCCTTGCCGAACCGGACGCCACATAGCACATCGAGGCCATGATCGGCGACCACAGAGCTGCTTCAAGCTCAGCCGCATACACACAGCCTCCACGTTAACCTAGGAAAAAACCGAACAGGTCTGCAGCCTACATTGACATGGAAATATGTAAAGTAGGTAGCCTGACATCGATGTAGGCTCTAGGTCTGTTCAGTTTTGTTTTTCCCTTGTATGAGATGCCTCCATGAAATAGCTAGTGCTCAGCCTCATGGTTTGTGTGGGAGAATTAGCCATTCCACTTCATCCCATGGTACTGCGATGACGCAGAGCGAAACGAGGCACTCACAACTTCCGCAACATCGACGATCTAGACGAGAAGATACACTCATGAATGAGTGAAATCGCAAGTATAATATACTGGGAGAATTAGCACTGGGAACAGTGCAGCTTTTGGCATGGAAGTTAGTCATGCTAGAGGTTTTGCTTGCGTCAATAGCTGGCAGGAATAGCTGGTAACAAACAATACTCACGTGCGTGTCTCAGCGCCCGAACAAGTGTATAGGATGGTAGCCGTCCAACGGTCGAATGCGCAAACCGGGCGCATTCGCGAGTTACGAGACCTGTTTGTCCATGGATGCTAGCATTCTGTCGCTCCGCTGTAAACTTACACAATAATCATACACCCGCGCCTGATCTCTTCCGCTCTTTGATCCTCCTTGACGACACCGAAACTGAGTGGAGAGTCCCCCTACAACTCACAACCCCATCACTCCCGCCTAAGCTCCTCTTTATACCCAGCCGGCAGATCAAAAGGCCACACCTCCTTCAAAAACTCATAATTCTGAACCTGAGTATCCCGATCAATCCCCTCGCCCTCAAACATATGCTGAACACTCCATTCCAGCAGCTCCAAATGTAAAGCCTGTATCTTTTCATACGCCTCCGCCGGCACCCAGCCATCCTCAACCCTATTCAGTGCCCTCTCTTTACTCTCCTTCCATTCCTGAATCTCTTCAAAAGTCTCATACTCTTCCACGTGTTTCGCGTACTCAGCCTCACTGAGCAAAGCAACAGGGCAAGGACCTTCAAATCCCAATTCCCCCCAGCGTCGCGCCGTCTGAATGATTTCGTTGCGGAAGCGGATGAAGCCGTCCTTCCACGTGCGGTGGCAGTAGCGGAAGGGGTCGAGGTACGCAGTATCCATTCGACGGGCTTTAAACATGGGACCGAAGAATACGATAAGCCCCAAGTCAAAGCGGATGCCGCATTCATCGCGTTTGAAACTCAACTCGCGTTCTGGCTGGACGTGCGGACGTGGTTGCGCAAAGTCTGGTGAGATGTCTGCGTAGTGGAAGGCTGGTTCTATGCTGCAGGCTTGCCAGTCGATGATTGCGGTGACGGTTGTGGGGGTGTCTTCTGAGACGAAGATGTTATCTGTGTGGAGACAGGGATGGAATAGGGATGGCTTTGCAGAGTCTTGGAGCGAGGGGTGATGGGCCATTGCTTTTAGCAGCGCGCGGCCGCGTTCGAGTAGGTCGTAGTGTTCTGTGGTTGATCCGTGGAATTCTTGCCAGTGTGGGTGTTTGGTTATGAGGTGAGATGGTGGAACTCGGGAGATACCGAGGTCTATGAGACTGTCGCAGTATGCGTTGAGATTAGGCCCTGATATAGATTGTGAGCAGGCAGGTGGTACTACAGTATGCGTCTATACCCACATGGTCCTCTGTTCGGGTTGACAGTGTGATAGTATCTGGGCTCGCGGGGATCGCAATCCCAATAGGTAGATCCACAGTGAGGGCCTATGCAATACGCCGGGTTAGATGGTAATTCAGCCCCGGTAACGTACGGCGTGTCGGCAAAGTAAAGGCTGCCATATGCCGGAAATTCGAGTTTGCCAAGTTCGTTGAGTTCGAATATGATCTTACTAACGCACTTAGATTGTTCATCTACGTCCATAGTTGGCCACTTCTCGTGCAAAGGAACACCAGGGGCGTGTTCCATGATTATGTACTCAGTTCCAATGGGGTTCGAGGCGTCATCACTCCAGTCGAGAATCTCCGGGATAGGAATACTCGTAGTCTGTTGTACTACTCAGACACAGCTTTGTCAGCTATTGGGTCGTCTTGTGCGATCTTTTGCTTGGTAGAACATACGATACTTGATGGTAGCGACTTCCGAGCTAGTTCTGTATCTGTGCGGCCCTGCTACAGAGAAGGGCAGTTTCGCAACGACACGCTTGCCATTGTCAGTATGGAAGATGAATACTCGATTGTTATCCCCTTCTTTCTTCTCATACGAAGAGATCGAGCTGGCACCCGGACACAGTGTTACGACTTTCTGACACAGAGAGTCAAAGTCGAACTGTATCATGCGTGCTTGACGGTGCAGCGCATCGTGACGGAGCCATCGGCCATCCGTATAATTGTAGGGGTCAGGACCTGGGATGTGTGAGCAACGGCAGATTGGCAGAGCATAGGCGACTACGATGACTTCCCACCTTCTCTGGTTGATTGCACTCGCGAAGAGAAGAGAGCGACTTGACCGAGATGGGATCTAAACTGCACTCTTCGAGAGCGCGTGAAGACCCGAGAGTCATGAAAGTGCCCAAGCTTTGATGACGGTAAAGTTAGTCGCCGCGTGGGGAGATGTCGCATTACAGCACAGGGCGTTCGGCTAAGCATTACTACGATATTCTCAGAGTATGCTCAACGTCTCTCGCGTGATACAGAGGGTGATCTCTGGATGTCAACGCGGAGTATATCCTGGAGATCATCCACCCGAGCGCCGGCGGTGACAGCGCCGCATCGCTGCAGGACAACCGCCGTCGCCGACACCGTAAGAAAGCATGAGAACAGCGCATCGGCAATTTTCGGAACCATCCGTTGGTAGGTGAGGCGCTTGCAAATTTGGATACTATTCTCAGCCTGAAACGCGTTCCTGAGATGTCAGGCACTCTCGCGTCGCGGGTCACAGTTTCGGAACTGTGCGTTGCGATGGTCCTTCCTCTTCGGAACTTTGGAAGCACTGATATTGGCTGCAAACCTTGTTGAGAGATGGGAGAGCTCGACAAAATCTGGTATGCAGAACACTCCGTCGATATGAGGATGTTGGATTGTATTCTTTCGCGATAGTCGATCAAATCCAACGGCATGCCGATGTCATAATGTCTGCCTTACCGGCCCGGCAACGGCGTAGCCAGGACTCGCGCCTCAGCGCTAAACCCACTCGTCCCCGCTATAGCCACAATCGTCACAGCGCATGGATGTCGAAGCTACCCCCCAGCCATCCGATGGGGGCAGCTATGGACTACTGCGCCGCTGCTGCGGAAGGCCTTGGACGCCTGTCGCAGCTGCCTTGTGCTCTCCAACTTGATATGTGCCTGTGACTACGCGACTGCTAACCTCCTGTGCTGTGTAACGTGCCGCAGCCTCTACTGATCGCGCTCAACAGCATCTTGGTGACATAGCTTACAGCAGCTTCTTTGGCAGTACTTGAGGGAATTGGACGCTCTTTTGGCAGTGTTGGAGGTTTATCTGAGAGAGAAGGCATCGTACCTGGCTTTGGAAGCTCATCATGGAGGTATGCATCAGCCTGTCTTCCCTTTTGGAGTCACGTCAGCTAACCATTGCGCAGAACACTACTACTACACCATACCGCGACTCTCCGGCACGAGACCGGAGAACATCGTCTACCCAACAAACATCACCCAGCTCCTCAGACTCGTCCGCGACCATAAAACCGCTGTCCGCAACGCCTCCTCCCTACGCAGACGAAGAGCCCTACCGCGACGATCCCCCAACACCAACAGAAACAGCACCCTCGACGCGTCAAACTACTTCACCAACCCACCAACGGCAGTCACGACACAGTCCACCCTACCAACCATACACAGACTCACCACCCCACACCCCAGACGCCGACGACGTCCCCCTCGCCCACCTCGTCTCCCACGCGTACACGCAGTCAACAGAGATCTCTCACCAACCCAACGACGCCTTCTACCCGGCCGACGCACCACCTCCATACGCAATCGCAGTCCGACAGTCGTATCGCGACACGCTCGTGCAGTACGTACCGCGCGGCCAGCACGTGGGTCGCGAGGAAGACGAGGAGAGCCAGATTGGTGTGGATGTGGTGAGGCCGGACGATGTGAGGTACTCGGTTGAGAATATTGTTGCGATGTTTGTTGTTGCGATAATGTTGTTGGTTGTGTCGGGGGTGTTGGCTTGGCTGGCGTTTGGGAGTGGGCTGGTGGGATGATCGCGAATACAGCATTGGGAGTCACGGTACACAGACGAGCATTCTACACGACTTTTGGATAGGGCGGTGGGATACTTGTTGGCGTTTTACGTTGGATACACTGGAACATGGGTACATTGGACACATTGGATACACTTGGAAAGTTGGATGGTCGCATCTTGAAATCATTTTAGCACATACTTCGCATAGCATCAAGACATTGCCATTGGAAATTTTGATCGAGTCTCAAACATACGCATGCAAGTCCAAATGTACTGGTTAACGTGCTGCACAATTCGACGCTAGCATACCGTGACCGAACAGGCCCGGTTCCAAGTTTAGACACCAGCCTTACGGACCCTGGTGTGGAGAGTTTAGTGGGTCCGTAGCATGGCATCGATGGGCATCGGGACAAAGAAACGCGAAGATAGGTGACGACCTGCAAACTGCACAGAGATGTCAAGCTTGTACCTTTGCAATTCCAGCCCATTGCTTGCATAGGGCAAGGCATCCGCAACGTGCAACCTCAGGCATCTAGAGTGCTGAGGTGAGCAGTGTGCAGCGGACCCACCCAGCTCGGGCTTGTAAGACGGATGCATCAATGATGGATTGGTCAGGCCGCCAGAGTCAACTGCTTGAGGAAACTATCTTGTCCTCTCCAGAATCGGCCCTGCTCAGCACGTGGTGTTCGGCCGGGAATAGTCGTTGCATGTCGCTGGGGTACCGCTGGGAACTGGACTGAACAGGCGTGTTTGACAGCGGCTCGACTTGGCTGGTCGTGGACGATGCCCTTAGTATGTGGCGTAGGATGCCCAGGATGCTGACCGGCGGAGAGTGACCCGCTCTTTGTGTACAATTCACCCCGCCGCGTCAATTTCGCCAGCAAGCGCCGTGGCCAGGGACTTGAACTGTTGGGTGTGCGCGCGCTGCATCTGCCGTGTCTTGCTCGAGGATACTTTGCCTGTCCTCCAGCTGCCCCAGCCAATTCCGGGACTGCGCCGCACCGCGTTGGCGGGCTTTCCTTCACACAGCCTTGCAGCTTGCGCCGTTTGGACCGCGCCCAGCTTGCTGTCAGCCGCAGCACCGCTCCCAGATATCCTGCACCGCACCCCTCCCGCCTGACCAGCCCTCCTCCCTCCTCTCTCATGAGTTCCATGAACGCCCGTTTCAAGAACCTAGTGGGTTCGAAACGCAAGAGTTCCTCACACAATCCCTCGCCCACGCCCCAAGGCAATCCCGCCCCCACGGGAGCGCAACGACCGACGTCGCTATCGCCCCAGGCTTCGAATTCGAGCAGCACCTCGCTCCCCATGAACCAGCAAAACCCCCTGGGCCGCCCGCCCTCGTACACCTATGCCCCGCCCGGCGGCCTCGGTGCGCCGCAACAGCAGCACGGCCGGCCCGCGAGCCCTCTGCCGCCCATCAACACCGGCGCGCCTGGCTACCCACCCCAGCAGACTCCCATGGGCTACCCGCCGCAGGCTGGGCCGCCTGGCTATCCTCCCCAGGGCCCGCCGGGAGCTGGACAGTACGGCCAGGGCTACGGCGCTCCACCGCCGGGAGCTCCTGCCCCTCATGGTCCCCCCGCAACGTACAATAGGCCCTCGGGCATGGCAGAGGTAGCGGGTGAAGGTCGCTCCAAGGCCCAGCTCATTGTGGGCATCGACTTTGTGAGTACCCTCAGACACCCCCGGACGCAGCAGCAGCTAACCATGCCCCACAGGGCACCACCTTCTCCGGCGTCGCATTCGCCTTTGCGACCAACACCGAGGCCAAGGAAGACATCATCACCGAATGGCCGGGCGCGGGCAACCAGACAAAGCAGAAGGTGCGCTAGACCGACCCCTCCACATGCACCCGCTAACCCTTCCCAGATCCCCACCGTCCTCTACTACGACCAGTACCAGAAGGTAGTCGGATGGGGCCCTGACATCGCCGATGCTCTGGCCCCCACGGGCTACCCCAAGCCTGGTGTGCAAAAGGTCGAATGGTTCAAGCTGCAGCTCATGCTGTCCGGAAACACATACATCGACCCCATCAACCTCCCGCCGCTACCCCCGGGCAAGTCTGAGATCGATGTCGCCGCCGACTACCTCTTCCACCTGCGCCAGGCGATGCGGAACCAGCTGCAGAAGACACTCGGTGAAGTCTTCAACCGCGAGGAGCGCAACATCAGATACTACCTGACAGTGCCCGCCATCTGGAACGACGCTGGAAAGGCTGCAACGCGTGCGGCTGCCATTCAGGCTGGTTTCCTGCGGGACGAAAACGACAACCGACTGACCCTCATCACCGAACCCGAAGCCGCCGCCATGTTCTGCTCAAAGACCGGTCTGCTCAACCTCAAGATACACGACGCAGTCCTTATCGTCGATTGCGGTGGTGGTACCGTCGATTTGATCGCCTACGAAGTCGAAGAAGAGCAGCCCTTCTCCGTCGCCGAGTGCACAGCTGGATCCGGAGACTCGTGTGGTTCCACCGCGCTCAACCGCAACTTCAGCAACATCCTCCGAGCCAAGATCAGGAAGATGAAACTCCCAGATGGCTCCAAGACAGCCGGTAAAGTGTACGCCAAATGCATCATGGACTTCGAGAACAGGATAAAAGCCGACTTCCGAAACAATGGTCAAAAGTGGGCTGTCGACGTTGGTATCGAGGCTGAGTTCCCTGAGGCTGGCATTGAGGAGGGGTACATGACCTTCACCAACGAGGAGATTCTACAGTGCTTTGAGCCTGTGGTTAACCGCATTCTCGAGCTTGTCAGGAACCAGATTATCGCTATTCAGGCACAGAACAGGTCATTGCAAGTAAGCAGTCACAGATGTCGAAACACGTCACTTCCAGTGCTGATTATAGTAGAACGTCTTAGTGGTCGGTGGTTTCGGTGCCTCCGAATATCTCTTCCAACAAATCAAACTCCACGTCCCGCCCCAGTTTCAGTCAAAGGTCGTCCGTCCCATGGACTCCGTCGCCGCCATCGTCAAGGGAGCCGTCACAGCCGGTATCACAGAGCGAATTGTCACACACCGTGTTGCGCGTAGGCATTATCTCATGGCCACCCTCCAGCCATTCAAAGAGGGTCACCACCCCGAACAATACCGTGTTCCGTCTCTCGATGGCAAAGACCGCTGCAAGTACACGCGCCAGATTTTCGTGCAAAAGGGCCAAAGGGTCAAGATTGGCGAGCCAGTCAAGGTCTCGTTCTTCAGACAAGTCGCGCCTGGTGCGACACTCATGTACGAGGATATACTCTACGCATGCGACGATGATGTTTGCCCGGAGTACACCAAAGACCCTCGTAAGTGAAAAAGATACCTGAACGAAATGTATGTACTAACAGCGAATCAGGCATCAAGGAAGTCGTCACCCTCACCTCTGACCTCTCACGAAAGAACCTCGAAAAAGACTTTGAACGCATGGATACCCCTCAAGGTACTTTCTACCGCGTCTACTTTGACATTTACCTCACACTCGACGGATCCGAATTCAATGCCGAGCTCGTCTGCCAGGGCGAGGTCATGGGCCGCTGCACTGCTCGCTTCAGATAAACAGGGCCAATCGCATCTTGATGAAACCGAGCAAACTACGCACGACTGTTTTTTCGAAAAAGTTGTTAATCTGCGGGAGAGCAAACATACTTTTGGACATTTTACTACCGGGATACGACACGATGTATGGGTAGACGAGGACCATGATTGCGACTGTCTCTTCTGCGCGCGCGTCCTCTTTTATCTTGTTTTGTGGGCCATTTTTTTTCTCCCTGACGATCTGGTCCAAAGCGATTGATGACGTGATATAAGCATACCCCCTTCAAACGTTTGAAGTAGCAAAATCTCTATCATTCTTTCAACTGCTGTTACTTGGAAGTTCGACGAGCTCTTTTTGAGATGTCGCTTACGCGCTAATGCCTAACATTCCAAGATTGCGTTTCGGTCTGAAAACAGGGAGCGCTCGCATCTTGACAGATTTGCTTCGAGATGATAAACGCCTGCACCGCTGGTAAGGGACTTGGCCTAGCTGCAGCGCTCTTCTCGAAGCTCAGCGTGTACGCGCTGTGCACATCACAAAAATGTTCACGTGAATAAAGACATAGTAAGCATTCTTTCATTAAATCTGAACTCTGCTCTAATCGCTCATCCAATCTTACCCTCTGAAATTCCCAAACGCAGTGTTTCCCTCAATACCTCTGCGTCTCCGCACTGTTCATAGCAGTAAACGTTCAGACCCTCTGTCGATCTACCCACGATGGATTCCTCACCACCAGAACTTCATACCAATATCCACAGTCATTGACTCGTCAAAGGGTTGCGTATCCCTAAATTCAGCCTCCTATCTGCTTCCCTGAACGTTTTCTGGTGGCATTCTTCCTACCTCATCCCACAGTCTCCTTCTCACGTGTGGTTCACGTTAAATCGACTGAATGCTATCGTAAGACCGATCGCAGACCCACACGACTTACTATTGGTCCCTTCTAGTTCTACTTCGACCACGTTGCGGAACTTCGTCATCAGTATCGCTCTCACTCGGGCAGTCGTCGTCTTCGGACCCGGCGCCATCCTGAGGGGAGGTCTGGTTGACGACCCTCAACACCCTTCCGCTACCAGACTCACCCCTAGAGGAGTTCTCTGGTGAAGTGCCGTTGGTAAGCGACGGAGCGTCCGTGAAGTCTCCGTCGAATTCCGCGAACTGCGATTGGTCGATCGATCCGCTGTGGTTATCTGGATCTGGTTCTTCGTAGAGTCCTTCGTAGAAAGCCATGTCGTCATCTGCAAGGTTACCCTCTGAAGTTTCAGCGCTGTCTTGTGTGTAATACCAGTCGGTCGGAGCGCTTGCCGGGACAGAGCCTTCTGATGATAGCGATACTGCTGCATTACGCACTCTCAGTGGCCCCTGACGTACATAGTACGGAAAAGACGAATTGTTTTCTTCATCTCCTTCGTCGTCAGCGTCTGCGGAGCTGTTATCATCGACGTGGCGCGTATTGGTAGCCCACCAGCGTTCAATTCCAAGGTCTCCGGAATTACCGTTCGAGACCGAGGACGAGGGAAATCGGGATTCAGCAGAATCTGCCTCTTCAACTGAGAACTCACCCGTAGAGAACCGGCGAGATGCTGGGACCGCTTCCGGTACACTATCCGAGGATGAGCAAAGCGAAAAACGAGATTCCGCCGGAACAGCATCTTCGACCGACCATTCATCTGAAAAGAAACGCCGAGCTGCACGGAATGCTTCTGATATACCATCAGAAACATGATCTGTTCTATCGACGTGATATTCCGGGTAATCTGGCCATGACGATGATGATGAAAATGAGGCGTCGTCTGGAATATCAATATCAGTCCGGTAGCATAGTGATGCTGAAGCTGCGAGCTGTGCGCGGAAGTTTATGTCCTCGTTAGCGAAGGAACCTTCGCTTGATGATAGCGACTGTGGAGATGAATCTGTGGTAGTACGATTCATGACACGCAGACGCGGACGGGATCCATCCTCTACCATATCGGCATAAGAACGATACTGCGGGCAACCTACCTGAGGCAGCTCGTAGCATTCAACATGAGAGTATGTCGTACCTTTTCCGTTCGCACCATTCCATTGCTGCGACTTGGTGTTAGCAAAGTTCGGGGGTACGGAATGTGAATGGCGTCCACGTCCCCTGTATCCGTATCCGACATCTTGTAAGAAATACGCATCTGCCTCACCTCCAGGGTGATAACAAAGCATATCCATATCATCTTGCTGATCCCGCGACTGCAGCCGTGGTCGATTCCGGTACCGAACCGCATTAGAACGCTGGAGACATACCGTAGCCGGAGGAGGCGGCCGCGGCATATTTAGCTTTTCAGCCCCAGCCAGTTTGAATTTGGCAAGCACAGAAAAAGGCTCTTCGTCGCTGATAGAGTTACCAGAACCCGGGGATGGCGACCTAGAACGCTGTCTAACAACCCCCACAGCACTCTTGATGAGATTGGACACGCTGGAGACGACTTCCTTGACCTGGGGCACACAAGCCTGCCGATTATCTTTCTTCTCCCCTAATCCCCGGCCTCTTATCCCAATATCCTCCCCAGTCATCCCACTCGTCTCAGCCACCATAACCATACTCTCCACCAACCGTCGCGGTTGCTCTTGCTCAGCCGATATCTTCGGAGCCGTCATATCCAAGCTCAGTCTTTCCCAGAACCTGGAGGAGCCGATGGGACGGTTAGCATACCGGGGTGGTGCTGAGGAAGGGTAGACACGTACGAATCGGTTTTGTTGGGTTGAGGCGTCAATGGAGTGGCTGGCATATTGGGGTGGAGAGGTGTGTGCGTGGTTGCGCATGTCTGTGGAGGTCATCGATTTTGTGCCGATGGCTTGCGGGTTTGAGGAGGGTGCGGTCGTGGTTCGTTGGTCAGTTGATCGGTTGTTCTTGCGCATCTTCAGGAATGCTAGAATCTGTGTCGAGCCGAACGTCATATTGGTGTATGTGTGATAAATTTCGAGATTATTCTTGATCGTTAGGCTGGACCGTAAGTCGCGAATCGTTAACTCAGTATCTTTCCAATATGTCTTAGCTGAATACTTCACTAAGCTTCAGACTTTCACGGTAATGTTTGCTTTGGGACTATTCGGGAATAGTTCAGGTCACTGTTTTATACAGGGCATTGCTTCCAGCGATGTCTGCGAACATCTACGAATTTACTTCTTGTGCAAGAACGCGGATGGCCAAGATGAGTCATGCCACGCTGACATTGTGAGTATAGAGCGAGTTGATATCCTGATATTGAGCGGTTCGATTGGGTCAGAGTGGTCGGCTTCATATATCAATAGAGATCGTGGTGCCAAGTGAAGACACAGCATATCGAATGCAGTGAAAGTCAAATGCGCACTTGGTGGCTGTGATTATGTCGTTATATTGATCATCTTCTACTGAAGGCTGTCTGACGTTTCGTAATCCCCCTAGAATGTGAGTCTTGACCCCGCTACGGATTGAGGGCCAACCCATTGTATACCATTGTGCCGCGACTTCGTGATCGCATAGCTATGATACGACAAGGATATCCAGTTCATGCTCATGAAGTGATGCTCAGAACATAAACAGAGCCGTGGCCAACTTATGAACGTTCCAAGACTCGGGTATATTGCGCGAAAAGATCAATACCTTCAATGACGCGTCCGAACCCGTCATGTAGGATGGTTGGGGTATCATGCACTTCGTGACTGGAAGCTTACGCGGTGAGGTTCTCAAGGTTATCAGCCTTACTGAGTCGCCTGACTCCCTCCGCCTTCCTGTCTTCCGCAAGAAGGGAAGCGAATTTACTAGCCTTTCTGATCTGGGGTCCTTTCCAGTAGAAGACGTAGATTGGTGCCACGACCAAACAAGACAGGCATGCCAGTAGGGTAGTGGCGTACTCGGACTTCTGGGGGCTTGACGATGCAAGGTTGTTGTACATGGGTGTGGCGTACATGGCGGAGATACCGGCGAGGAAATCACGAGCGAACGCGTTTCCTCCGGTGGCCGAAGCCGAGTATGGTCCGTAGGCGGCGATCATGTAATCGACAGAGGAGTAGTAGATGGCGAAATTTGCCAGTCCGACGAGGAAGGAGAATATCATCGGCGCGATCCAATGGGTTTGTGGTGGTCCCATGCCTATGTCACCATTAGCTGAATTCAATTGATGGCGTTCAGGAGTCAACTTACAAGTCCAGGCAAATCCGAACAGCCCAATAGGCTCGAAGAGCGCAAGCAGAAGAAGCGGCTTCAACCGTCGCTCTGGTGTCATCCAGTCGGGGCCGTTCTTCTTGCGCAGGTGATCATCGCGCCAGAACCAGGGCCAGTACAGGAAGTAGGTGAAGAAGTACGCAGCGTTGATAGGAATGAAAGCCCATGCGACTTGAAGTGTGCCGAAACCGAAGTTGTTCGGGAATGTGACGTTGAATGCCTCCAGGAACGTGAAGATCAGAGCGTCGGAAAAACCGGAGAGTAGCGACAGGCACAAGACGATTGGTTCCCGAACGAACATCTCAAACGGACGGAGCCAGATCTTCCCGGCTTCCTTGAGCGAAATTCGGGGCGATTTAAGTTCATTCGGTCCGTAGATGTTGGGATCTTCGCCGGTCTTGCGACGTCTCTTGGCCTCGCGATCGATGAGAATGGTAGCTCGGCTCTCAGGCATGAAGAAGTGTACTGCTTGCACAGCAACACCGAAGATCAACTGGATCCAAAAGTTCCATTGCCAGGAAAGGTATTTTTCGATAGGGCCACCGATGACACCACCGATAGAGGTTCCGATCGTAGATGACAAGACGATAAAGCACAGCGGCCAGTGCTGCGTCTCTGGCTCGTACATATCCGCGATAAGACCAAGAGTCACACTGCCTCCTGCTGTGGAGAGACCACCCTAATATTCATCAGCAATGGAAGTAATAAGTACGAAGGAGACTTACAAGAGCTCTGCAGACTATAATGGTGGCGAAGTTCGGTGCGACGGAGCATGGAATTTCCCAGATGTTGATAAGAAACATGCTGAGCTGCAGAATTGGCCATCTACCAAACTCTTCACTCCATGGCGCCCATAGCTCGCAGCCAAAGGAATAGAAGACCAAATAGATCATCTGTCCAACGCGCGCTGCCTGTGCGCTAATTCCGAAATGCTCGGAGATAGGGTTGACGGCGCTAGGATAGACCGACGTGTTGAAGTTCATGGAGATTTGGATTCCAGCAATTGAAGCCAGATACATGGCCTTCTTCCACTTAGGCCATGAGTATGCGAGCTTATCCCAGCACTCCCATTCTCTCAGCTCACGCTTCCCGTCTGCACGGATCATCGACGGATGGTGATTTCCTTGAGGGTCGACAGGGACATCGACATGCCACTTCTCCTCCTCGCTAGTCTCGGCTGGGATGCTTGGGCGTCGCGAGGTATCATCTTTCTCAGAAATTGGACCTGACCCAGCTCGGGCGGGCGAAAGGTGCCTGGACTCGCGTTCCGTCATCGTAGGGTGGGCTGGACGAAGAAGCTGGAGATGAGAGTCGGGGTGCGGGTTGGGGAATTAAGGCCCTCTTGAACCCAACAAAAGTCCACATTTGGCATCCACCTCCAGAATGACGTCTGAGGAGAAAGCCCGTTGCGAAGAACGACTCTCCACTCAGAGAGGGGCCTGTCACAATGGGATCCATTGTTGCGAACCCATTTCGTACAAAATCGGCCTCAAATTTGACGTTGAGATCGGGGTGATAGATGCCATCGACGACATCGACAACCTTGGCGATGAAGTGTGTCTCAGGGTGGGCCTAGCCTGGCCATGTCGGGGTGCTCTTTGGCGGTTGTGTCTTGTGGACCCAACTATGTGACGGTAAGCTTCGTCCATGCAGCGAAAAACTAGTAGCTATGTGCTTAATCCACTTCTTGCCGACGTGCGCTCACCTCCCGACAGGCCAAACGTCCGTAGATCTGCATGCGGCTCAAGTAAAGAATGGGTCAAGTGGGTCGAAAGCCCACAAGTTCTCAAGCAGCTAAGGCGGTCACCCGATAATGCTTGACTTATTTGGCTTCCTTGTGTCCGTCACAAATACAGGTACGCTCGTAAGAGAGTTGCCTCGCTCTAATCGCGTTGCGACGTTGACGAAATCTTTCAGACTGTCGCGTCTGAGTGGGTCAGTGGCACCTCAAGCAGGCAGCAAGAAAGAGCCTTCATCGGCTCACGCTGCGGCATGTAAGAATGCGGTCTGGCAATTGATCATCATGCCGTAGTCGTCCGATTGGGGTATAGATGGGAAGAGGCTCTGCGGGCAACGGATGCAGGTGCAGGGTGAAAACTCTAGCTCGACCGTATGACATCATGGTGCATGAACGCGAGATCCGCCGCGGCAGCAACACCAGAGCCAATCCTCACGATGCTTTCAGGTCGGTCTCGACCGGGCGTCGCACATACTACTTAGAGTAACCTACCCGGGCTCTTTTGTGCACGGTGTTGTGAGTCGTGTTGCACGTTTTACCCGCCCGCATATCTCCACTGCTTGACCTATGTGCATCCACTGTTCTACGCACGTGTTCCTCGCTGACGTTGATTGATAAGAGGGTACATGCTAGCTATCTTAGGCCTTTTCTGGTCTCGTCGTAGAAGTTAGAAAACTTGAACTCGCAAAGTAAGATTGTTTATCAGGTGATAGACAGAGCCTGAAGATAACAAGGCCAATTCGGACATGCTCATTCACCAAATAGTCCGAAGAAAGTTTATACGAGCAATCAATATTCGTCTCTATTATTTTCAACCAATTTCTCAAAGCAAAAAGCGCCAATGACCGCAGATCCAAGAGTGAAAAACCAGCTCTAGATCAATTGCAAGCCATGCATATAAACGTGGTATCACATAAACTAAAATAATGCCATTCTTGCATACATCCTCGATCCGTTCATCTTCACAACGATAGATGAACCCCCCGTAATCACACCAGAAAAAGAAGCTTCGAATTGTCCACCTTACAAGACGGCGACAGCGGCAACAATAGCAGCCGCCGCAGAGCCGATGAAGCTCTGGGCGCTGAAACCAGCCGCGGTGTTGGCAGTCTGCTGGGCAGGAGCACCGCTGGCAGTACCGCTAGCATCGCCACCTGCAGCGCCACCAGAGGTGCCATCAGTGCCAGAGTTTGCGCCGCCGCCAGCTGAAGGCGAGGTAGGTGTGTTTCCAGCCGCGCCACCGGAGCCAGCAGCCTGGCCGGGGGAGAGGTTCTCGGTGGCTTGAGCGGCGAGGGCGACGAAGGCTTCCATTGTCTTGTTGCCGGATGCGGGACTGTTGGGAAACATGTTAGCGGGTGCATGTGGATGGTAGAAGGGGCAGTGGCTTACGCGTTGATGGCACCGACCATACCAGCCTGGCAATGCTTTCCCTGGGAGCAGTAGAACCAGACGGGCTTCTCGTCTGCGACGCGGATGGTGTAGGTGAGGACTTGGCTTGTGGCGGTCAGGGAGGCGTTGGTGGGCATGAATCCGGAGAAGAAGGCGTCGGTCTTGTTGGACATGATGTTTTGGATGGGGGTGCATGGGTTGTCGAAGGTGGATTGGACGACGGAGTGGTTCTGTTGGGGTATTTTTAGTTGGAGAGATGGAAGTAGGGACTATGATAGGACGTACCTTGGGGTGGAATTGGAACTGGACAAGATCTCCGGGCTGTGCCTTGATGTTGGAGGGAGAGAAGGTCAGGCTTCCGTTGGGTCCTCCGACTTGGACTACGTGCGTCATGACCATGCCTGCCATTGCGGCGGGCGTAGAGGTCGAGACGCTGCCGAGTACTGCTGAGGAGAGGGTTGGCTCAGTAGCAGAGCCCATGGACATGGACATGGAGGACTCCTGTGCGCACGCGAGGCCGAAGATGGCGGAGACGATGGTTGCTCTTGAGAAGTACATGTTGACAGTGTATGTGGTGTTCGTTTGCGTAAAGGCGAATTTGGTATTAAGTATGCGATTCGTATTGCGATGCTCGTCTCGTCAAGAGAGTGGATGGGCGACTAGCGCTTTGGGTCGTGAAAAGTAGCAAGCTGGACTAGCCAGTTGTATATTAAAGATTGTGAAGAGGTAAGTAAAGAAAGATAGATGCAAAGGAAAATGCAACACAAGTGACAAGAAACGTGGGATGCAGAGATGAAGAAAAGAGAGCCTGAGGTGACGGCTATAGGGCCATCTTAAGGCATGAAAGATTTGCATGCGTGGCTAGGGCGGTTACTAGCTATTCCGATACATGGGGTTGGTGTTGCGACACGTTAGAGGCGAGAACTGCTTCAGCCTCCTGGTTCGGCTGTGGACCCTGTAAATGAGGCTTAAAACGGGTATATCTGTCTGTAGCTTGCAGCGCGAACATCATCGCTGTGAGATGACCGCAACATTTGAAAAGCACGCAAGAGATAGTCGACGATAACGCAGTGCAGTGCGGTGCAAAGCAAAAAACACATGCTTTTTCTAGTGTCGCGTTGACGATATCGCAATATTGGTGTTCGTCGAGATGCAGCTAGGTGTTGACGGTGCGACGCGCTCCACGTTCCGGGTGTGTTTGAGCCGAACCCCATGATGCTTCAGACCACGCGCGGCAACGGCAATCCCAAGGCCGATCAAGCCAGGCAACCGGAAGATCTGTTTGCGAAATTGTGCATTACATGTCGGTCAGGCTGTGCAGTAGGAGTAGCAGTCACCGACAAGATCTTGGAAGCCAGGCGTCATGTGGTCATGTTTCAAACATGCCAGGCCGACGTGTCCTTCATTTGTTCATAGGTGTTTTCGGCCTGACTTCTGAAGAGTAGTTCGTTCTGAAAACGACAGATGAGTACATGTCCATGTTTCGGCTTTTTGACATCTCCACCTCTTGCTACCACGAGCCTTGGCCGTGGGCCGAACACCCGTCTTCGCTCGTAATGACTTGTGGTGTTCCAAAAATACCCTTACAGTTCTGTCATCCAAGGATAGGCTGCGAGCAGCGCATGTATGGTGCGGCGCAGTTCTCGAGACCAGCGCTATGGACGGTGTGAAGCTCCCCGTTGGTTGTCGCCTGGAGCTACATGCTAACCCCATATCCAAATAAGCCTGCATATATCCAGATAGTAGCTAGTTGTTCTTCTCATCTCGTCGCTGGTCTGCGCTGGATCTTCGTGTCTTCGTGTGCACAGCACTCAGAAGTCGAGCACAAGTTGGGGTGCCAGCTTCTCCAGATCTTCCACCTGGAGGAAACCATCGATGCTACCGCCATCCTTTGCCGCTGCCTTCATCTCGTCCTGGCTTCTGAGGAAAGCTTCCGTGACAAAGATGTCGATGTACTTGCCCACCAGCTTCATCGCACCTGTTTGTATTTGTATGTTCGGGTCTTCGAAGTTCTCTAGAAGTAGGCGTGCGAGGAGCGCTCGGGAAATAGCGGGTTCGTCGAGGGCGGCGGCTGCTGGCGGTGGATTGGCAGTGGGTGCATCGTCCATGATGTCGTCAAAGTCGGAGATGTTCAGATCCTCCGCTAGCTCTTCGTCCTGGCCATCGTCGGATAGATCGATTACATCAGCAGCTGGTGTGAAGGCAGTCTTCGAGGGCCCCGCGCTGCTCTTCTTTGCGGCACCTGTCGCGCGGGATGCCGCCGCTGGGGCGCGTTTCGTCGCGGTGGATGCTTGAGAAGGCGCACCCACGGGTCTTGGTGGGTTGAAAGACGGGCCTTTCCGGCGCGCGGCATTCGCTGTCGCGTTCTTGGGTGGCATTGCGAGCTTAGATGGAGCCTGCGTTGAGTTGCGGGCGGTCAATGCAAGTCACAAAGTGTGAGGTGAGCTTGATGTTGGTCATGGTGCCCGCGCGATCCACAACACGCCGCGCGCTCTCACGTGTACGTCATAAAATACAACAACAACACTCCCGAGGTCTGATACCGACGTCTGTAGCATTTGTTCGCTTCCATGACCCCCAAAGGCTTCGAAGTTCATCCTCAGGCCAGAAATCAAGGCGCCCCATCTCATATGTGGCCATTCGTTCGGTACTGCGCACCGTCCTCGGTGCTGCACAGCCTTTGGAATGGGCGCCTTATGTTGGTTCGTCACATTTCCAACTTTCCGCTATGCTACACCGCCACGGGTATGTATACTGTCACAACCGTAATCATTTCGGAGACTGTCTCTGGTTGCCAAGCCAAACTATATCAACCGACCGTTGAGCAGGTGTAAGAAACAACGTTATACGATCACGGAGAACACAGACCATCCTTCCTTCGTTTACGCGCCACAAGCCCACCTCAAAAGCTTGACATCTCATCGCAAGCCAGACGGGCCGCACGGTGGCGCCGTTCATTTCGTATTGTTAATTACGGTTACTTGTGTAGTGTCCGCATTGGATCGAACCCTCACTATGGGGTATGTAGACTAATGAAGTCGGTGTAATCGTGACTTGGTAATGGCGCGAGGAGGCGGTTTCAGTGAGACAAAGAGAGAGGCCAGCCGTTGGACTAGTTATTTAGTCGGGAGGCTGAGAGCCAATTGTGGGGAAATGAGATCGAGGTGGTACTATGCGACCGGTAGGGTACTTCGTTACACGGCGTTGGCAGCAGACATTTCGAAAGGGTCTTGACGTGCAGAGCGCCTGACACATAGTACATATATGGAGCTGTGCCACGAACAAAGAGGATTTTCTAAAGCCAGGGGGAGTTTCTGCGCACTGCGTTCCGATTGGTGCTGGTTCACCATGGATTGGACAGTCATTTCGGGAGAAGTCGAGGCGCAGCGAACATGGTAGGAGCAAAGTTGGGCGGTTGGCTATCTCCCAACTCCTTACGCAGACGTGGCAGAGAAGGAGCAATAGCTTGAGTCGTTATCGAGGTACGGTCCATTGAATATAAGTGGAGATTGCTAGGTCCCGTCGCTTTGGGGTCGAGACTGGGACAAACAAGAACTAGTACCTGCATCAGCTGTTTATCTCCCGCTCCTTTGCACACAAATTATTTGGGTACCCATGATGCGTGGAAGTGATTGAAGGATGAATGCCGGTGGCTGTCTCAGTGATTGGGTTGTGACGCGTGCAGTGTCGTGCCTTTCTGCATCTGGAAGGCATATGCACATCAGTGACCATGTCGGCGTTGGTGTCTGGTATGGCTTCGCTCGGCAGCGCGCCGAACTGCGGAGTTGGAATGTGGCCACGACATGTGCCAGTGACCGCCGATGCTGTGCGAGCAAGGCGGCTCCAGGTAGAGTAGCGGATGCTGCTTCTTCCCGCCCGCGTAGCTCCTGACGAAAGAGTGCAGGCAGACCAGAGACATTGCACGAGAGGCGCGGCCGTCGAACAGAGGTCGAGACTCCGGAGCGAGCGTCCAAGAAGAGCGGCTCCAGGCTAGGCTGAGTTTGGCGGGGTAGGAGGAGTGGCCGGCGACGGGGGTTAGTGCGCGGGCTAGGAGCCAGCGTCAAACCTCGATTGAGTGGACCAGAGTGGTGTTGCGTTGTCGCTGAGATTGAGGCCAACGTCCTGGACCAGGGGGGACGGGGTTGCCCTTTCCCTTGTGGGCGATGCTATTTTCAACTGGCAGTCGCAGCGAGGGGGAGGAAAGCGCGGTCGGCACAGCTGGCAGGTGCGGGTGGTGGCGCGCCTGGAGCAGCAAACATGGCTTTCCTGAGAGCTGAGGGCTCGCTGGAGTCGCCGACACTTGACGCATCGCCAGATAAGGATGCAGCGCACAGCCGTCTTCAGCCAGGCCTCATGTCAGATACCCAGTCCGATCGTGTGCAGGCGCCCAAAACTGCATGGCGGGCGGCTGGCCCGTGTGCAGGTGATGCTGCAACTTGAGGCCGCACCCCTGTCGCTCTACCCGAGATGCTTGAGGCTTGGTGCTGCTTGGTGCTCAAGTGCACTGGCATGCGGCGACTATGGGAATATATCATACAGTGGTTCGCCTGCTCTGCCCAGGGCCCATCTCCTGCATCTCTCCGACCAGCGCCTTCCTTTTGCAACTGCGGGGTGTTTGCTCAGTCGTCATCCATTCCTCAACCCTGGACTGCTACCGCCCATCACTTGCATCCTGCCGCACCATCTTCCACCACACCGTCAATCGATACACGGACTCCCCACGGACTCTCTCCCAGTTTCCGTTTCCCCCAGGCCGCTGATAACCAAACGCCACCGCGTCTCATTCCGGACCTCGTCTCACACTGCAAGATAGAGAAGCGCGCCGGGATCTGCGCTCTTGCATGTGCACCAACGCCTTTATCCATATCTAGGCAAATCCCATACCAGACAGACAACCCTGGTCGTTACTCTTATATCCTCAATTCCCCATCGTTTTCTCTCCTCTGCCATGCCCCATTCAGTCAACAACTCTACCTCGACCCAAGCCAAGATGTCACGCCCATCGTCCACCTCGACCTACTCCGGCAACAATGCATTTCCCCAACAGGCAGGCACCACCCTCCTCTCGCCGGAGAAGGCCAATGGACAGCTCTCACCCGCGCACTCACAGTTCTCTTTTGCATCGTCGCCCCAGTCGGTCCAGGACATCGAGCACGACTCCCGGAACCGCGCTCCGAGTGCCGCCGCGGATGAAGTAGGTCCCCTGCGGCCCATGACTTCGCGCTCGCGTGCACAGTTCTACGAGGATCAATTCTCCTACAAGGACGGCATGGCGTCGTCGGCTCGCGACCGTGTGACCAAGGATGCCCCCATTGTAGCCGAGCTGCGGACAAACGTTATCGTAAGTTGTTATTCTGCCGAGCTCCACTCTTTTGGCAAATCACTAACCCAGCGTAGATCAAAGACGAATACACCCTGGTCACCGACCTCTCGCACCACCTCTCGACGCGCTATCAAAGGCCAGAAGCCTCTATCATGATAACGGTCAACCACTCAGCGTGTCTGCTCCTCGGTGGTTCATTTGAGCCCACCTACATGCTCACCATTAACGCTCTGCCTGTGCAACTGCAACCCACGACCAACAAACGCAATGCCGCCCTGATTCAGACGTTCATGGCTGAGTCAATTGGCGTTGCGCCGGAGCGTGGCGTAGTCAAATTCGTACCCATCCCCGAAGAGAGCTTTGCCATGAACGGCATGACTATCCTCGGCGAAATTGAGCGCTTGGAGCGACAGCAAGCCGAGGAGACTGGTAGCAACATCAAGCGTGCCATGACCAAGAGCTCGCGCAGATCTGGTGTCTTCAAAGCAAAGAGTACCATGCAGCTGTCTCGTGGTCTATCCAAGGCTGACCATGGCGCAAGACCAGTCGTCACCACTGAGGTTTCTCACGACGCATCCCGCGATTCCGGAGTAGCTGTCAACGAGAAGATTGACGACAGCAGGATCGTCAACAAGAAGTCTGAACCCATACTCTCCAAGTTCGGCAAGAGGTCCGCGTCTGCCGCGCACCCAGCGCCGCCTCCTATTCCTGCCGACAGGCCTATGACTTCAGGAATGACCAAACGCAAGAGCTTCATGAGCGTCTTCCGCAAATGATCATCTACGAACATCCGCTACATCGACAGCATTGTCTAGCAGTCATTCCCTAATCAGCAAACGAAGACCTAGCATTCACCATATCGGTTTTCAACGGCGTTCCACACGGCACATGAAACCACTCTCTAGACTGAGTCGGCAACACAGACTCACCTGCTGTACTCCACCATCACGGCATCTGTCAGATTCTGCATACGGCGCTACACATGGGCATGGTCGAGTCGCAGAGTGCGACAAAATTGCATTACCAGGCGTATGGGGTGCGACACATCACATGCTGTTCATACGAATATACCCTTTTGCATTTCCTTTGTCGCAAAGCTCGAGTGAGCATTTGGGCTACATAGAATCATTAATGACACATCACTGCCTCAGTACATCACATTGCCTTCTCAGTTCCTACACATGCTGCTGATCTGCACTTCGCCGAGGAAGCACCTGCGCTTCACTCACCGCAATGGTGCCGTCTCCCGTGCCGTGAGCGCAATCGCTGACCCACGAGCCTGGATGCACGCTCGACTACGCCATTGAGATCTTCGTTCAATCCAGATCCTCACAGATCTTTGCCATTTCAGAATTGTCTCGGGTACGCAAGCCCCATCTCAGATCGACAAACTTGCCGGGCGGTCACTAAGAGTGAGAAGGGCCGGACGTTCACCTGCCGCGTGGCTAGACCAGAGACTACCAGACCGCCCGTGCTTGTCAAACGAAATCCAAGCCGGCGACGACTTCACGCACTCGGTTCAAACCTCAGTCTTACGGCGTACCCCGATGTCCGTTTCCGCACTTCAACGCACCCATGTCTCAGCCCAGCGTCAGCAAACAAAGCCCACGTAGAAGCCCGTCAATGCTGCCAGCCTATCATCTCAACATGTATGCCTCCTCAGCCAGATAAGCGAACACCACCAGCGCCCATCGCTGTCACCGACTAAGCATGACTGACCCGAAAACACTGGACATGCCGCAGAACATCCACGTTAGCCGCCTGCCGCCCATTCTGCATTCTGCATTTTACTTTTTTCAGCTCTCCACGATTTACTAGCAAGTGGATCTAGATGCGCCACAGCGATCGCTGGTGTCGGAGAGATGTAGCGTGGCGACTAGCGCGGTGCGGGAAGGCTAACGTGTAGCTTCGGGCGGATAGAATGGTTATGGCCTTGTCACGATTGTTTCTTCAGCTGGGGGGAAATGTGGCGTTGGTCCAGCCCTACGATGTCGGTAGAAGGTTTTGCTTTCTAAGGGCTAAGAGCTGTAGTCTGGTATTCCGCGAGGGTGTTGGAGTGGAGGTGGTGGTGTTGTGCCACGTCTTCATGGACTACACTGGACCAGTTTCGATGCGAGAGCTATGGCGTGTATGCGAGAGTGATTGTGCATATCTGAAAAGAAGGGTCTGACCGGTTGAAACTCGTGTGGAGATATGCTATGGTAGACATGGGGAACCAGGAAGCGAGAAAGTCTGCAGACAGTAAGCATGATGCTAGATACGAAGTTTGCTATCGGCGCCTTGACAGACAGTGAAGATCCTCGCAAGGTTTTGGGCGATCAGTGATCAGCAAACTGCGCAACTCTGCGCATCGCATTGGTATCTCGCACAACACCCACGTTGGTCCTAGATCCCCATTATTCTGTCGTCTTTATTCATTTTTCATTTACTTGCAACATTGTCCTTGTTGGCTAAGGACATGGATTCCGGGTTTCTCAATTTGCAAGATGATTTACCCGCATCTTGCACGAATGGAATTGTTGTCTTCACAGCCAATCAGCATCCTAGCACCTCCTTTGAGTCCCCTTCCTTCGACGTCGGAAGTTTGCGTTGCTGTAGCTTGGCAACGCGTGCATTGCGCAAATCATCCAAGCGAGAGCTTGATTGAAGTCGGGACTCGCGCGACGGAATGATGCAGATAAGACGAAAGGGATCAGCAGTGAACTGCGTAGGCCAAGAGTATACCGGTGTATACAATAGTTCATCATGGTCGCGGAATGGCCGTAGAGTTCGCCGGGAACTTATTGGAACGGCGTAGTGAGCTGCGCACGATGGATCCAAGATTCCTGCCCGGGTTCGTGACCCGACGGCGATCTTACTTCGGAGTTTGGGGTGTGACGTCATAGGTCGTGGTAAAGCTTGTACGGGCGCTACCTATCTTTGTTGCTTTTGATCGTCAACCACGATTACGAGGTGTGGTCTAATAAACGGGAGCCTTTGAAGATGAGGTCCGGAAATGAGGGGTGGTACTGCGAGGATGGAGATGCCGAAGTGGTGAGGAAGGATGGGACGATGGCATTTGGTACATTCGCAAAAACGTCAACTGTCTCAATACCCAGGTAACATTCCACATACGCACGTCCATCTGTTTGAACATCGATTCAACCCAGGTAGTTCTACATTTACACACCTTTCTAGTCTACCCACGACCACCTCCCCGAAAACCCCCCAACAAGCTCATTCGTAAACTCCGGAATACTCCCCAGCAGCAAACTCCCCCTCCTCTCACAATCCTCATCAACCGCACGCTTCATCCCACACAAAGCCCCATGCGCCATCTTCATCCCCTTCGCCTCCAGTAACTCCACAACCGCCGCCTTACTCTCCTCCATCCGCATCTTAGCCATCGCCTCCAACTTCTTCAGCAAGAAATTCTTGGTCTTGTAGCGCTCATGGGCCGTCGCGCCTTGCATGAGGCGACGGTATAGTACGAGCCATTTGTGCAATGGTAGCCAGGGTTCTAGGTCGTTGGATTCGTTGTCGATGCCGGAGAGGAGGGTGGTAACTTCTTTTTGCCAGTCTGAGGGGCTGGAGTGGTACCAGCGGTATTTTACTTTGAGGAGACGGGTTGAGCGCGCGTATTCTGTGGAGAAGTGCGCGAGGATGTCGGTTTCTGGTGTGGGGATGGGGACGGGGCAGCGGATTAGATCTGCTGTGCAGATTTCGGGGGTGAAGGGGTCGACTGCGTATGTGAAGGGTTCGTCGGGAGCGGTGTTGGTGTCAGTATCTTCTTCCGGTGAGCCATTGTGTGTTTTGTTCCATGCGTCGACTTCTTTCAGCATCTCTGCCCATTTTTCGTCGGAGGGGTTATTCAGATCATCGAAATATGCTGTCAAATCATCGAAGGGGAAATCAGGGAAATCCGATGGGAGAAGCTCGCTGAAGTCAATGTCAAAATCCTCGAGCGAGTTGGCATCTTCTGCGCACTCCTCGGGCTGCGCGGCTCGCTCGTCATCTGCGAAACCTGTCGCTGTCAAGGAGTCGCTATGGGCTGACCTGTCCGAAGCATGAAGGCTTTCGGCTTGTTGTTCGTCCAGCTCAGCTGAGATTGGACTGGCTTCCGAATCTGCTTCTACGCCCAGGTTCGTCCAGTTGTTTGGAGGGGAAGGAGTGCTTACCTCCTGGCCCTCTAGCTGCATAGCTGTTAGCATGTCTGCCATGATGACATCCTCACCGGCTTGTCGCTCCTCTAAGGAGGGTATAGACAGTTCGTATTCTGAAGAAAGACCGGTAGGTGTAGAGGTGGGTTGCATGGAAGTAGAGGTTTCGGAGGGCATAGCATCGATGGTCCCTCGTACTGTCGTAGGCGCCACGGCAATGTATTGAGAATCTTCCGTACTGTAGCTCTCATATATGTGGGAGCAGGCCCCTTGATCTGCACATATATTGCACGTCTGCATCTTATTCTCGTTCTTTGTCGACACGTCGTATGAGAAGCTTTATTGAGTCTGGTATTCTATGTCTTGTTGAAGTCCTAGTTCGTCGGCCGGAATTGATGATTGTTTGATGCTTCTTCTTCAGCCTGACTGATTTTAATCCATGGTCGGTAAGCGTTTTGCATGAACAGGGAGTCTACACAGCAGATGCTATCGTGTGGCTGTGAAACCCATGTCGACTGTAAGTTTGCATAGTGTATACTATGCAGCTAAGGAACATGTGCAACAACTATGACAGATCGTCACAATGAACGGCGTCTATTTCTAGTTGAGGCGAGAGGCCCGACGCGTATCGCAGCCAAAAGATAATATTAGTGGGTTTCATCAGATTATGTATATGGTTCGCCAATTCCCACGCCTTCTTGCCTCAATTTCATCATCTACAGCCCTCCTGAATGGTCTCATTGGTCTCATTGGTAACAGAATATAACGATTGTCTCCCTGACTACGCAAGAATACTCGCCCCGTAAGGCCTTTCAGCAACCATTCCTCGTCGCAAAGCCCATCGATACTGTAGTCACGATCATTAAGTTCTAAAAACGTGTAAGAATACTTCTCATGATATAGGATTGGTTTTGTTTACCTATGAAAATGTGTTGTCTATTGACAAAGATTCCGTCGACTTGCAACGCCCGCGGAAGACCACTTAGGGTTTCAGGTTCGTGGAAGGAAGCATTGGCCTGAACCTTCTCCAATTCAGGATGATACGATCGCAAGTGATCATCGTCGCGGGGGTAAACACAGTTACGCCTCCAATCAACCACCCACGATGGTAAACTAGGGTCAAGAGGTGGTGCTGAATCTATAGCATGCTCTAGTACTTCCAGGCTATTCTCAGTCTTTATGATTCTTATGGTCGAATCGATGAGGACTTGATTGATAGAGTGAGAATAGTTTGGCAGAATGCCATAAGCCGGATCTGTCAGACCAACGTATGCAAACACTTTGTCTCTAGGATCAGAAGCATCGCAGGCCCGAGAATGTCTCAATAGCCTCTTCAAGTCCATTTTCCCACGCCAATTGGATTTGCTCTCGGTTGCCAATGCCACTCTGTTCAAGGGAGCGTTCAGACTCCGCCAGACACTGGATGAAAGAGAGCGACGTTGTCGAGGAGTTTCCACAACAAACAAGTAATTCCGCTCCTGACATATAGCTTTCAATGCTGGCCGGATCATCTCCCAGGACGCATATACTCCGCTATACATGAACTGAACCTTTGCCGCTACAATGAACTCTTGGAAGACCCAGGCTCTAGTAAACCAGGGTGCTCCAATGACATTGTAGGAAGCACGGCATCCCTCCAAGAACTCCACGCTCCCCGAGTTATGACTGATGTAACTTTTCAAGGCAGAATCGTGGGCGCCTATAGCCCTACTGGCGAAGGATTCATCCTGCCAAGTATTGTATGTACCATCGGTCGAGATCTGACTTTCCGGCATGGGTATGCTATCGCACTCGCCAGTACCAAGGTCTCTAGCTAACTGAATAAGCCAGAGCATGCCTCTCGGATCGTCGTTCTTGGTTGACAGGCAGACAAGGACTTGTTCTGAATATTGGTAGATTTCGCGCATGAACCGAACCTGGTGTGATCTCTCGTTAATGTCGTACTGATTTATGGAGATCTGATCAATCCACAGTCGACACTCTCTGTCACCGTATGTAGTGCTCCAAAATTGACGGACTTCCCTCAGAGCATGTGCCAGATTTGCGAACACGTTGAAGGTTGTACCGTTGAGAATGATGGGCTCGGTATTCTTTGCAGACCCAGCGCAATACGATGGAGCCGTGTATCGTCCTTTCAGATCGAGCAATGGGGCACCCGGGAGCAGTGTGCACTCGATGACATCGTCTCCACTGCCAGGCCAGAGTTTGACAAGGCGAATCTCCTGCTGAACGACATCCAGTTCAGAGTATAGGCCACTCGCATGAAACGAGTCGTTATTGGGTGTGCAAAAGATGTCATGGCCAGGCTGGAGCCCGCCAGACTGTAGAGACACTGTCGGCTCTTCCGCCATGGTCGAGTAGCGTTTGACCTTCCGACTAGGCTGGTGTGATGGGTGGAAAGTGGAGAAGATTGCGACGACGCCTCGTCCGCTTACGTGGGAGCGACTGTTCACCCCACATCCCCGCTTCCCTCGTTGCTTCCTCCCACGCCAACTTCCACGTGCAAACTCTCAACGAACCACGACTGTGTGCGACACACCATTTGACTTCTAGCTCTCTTGTTTGTCGCGACAGGGTTTACGGCAGAATGTCACTGATGATGCGAGACGGGATGATTCGCGTCGCCTCAAACTCGCGACGGGGCTCGAGTCCTTGGGCTTCATCCCAAACACGCTCAGGTTGCACCATCGATGACGTCCCCAAACTTCTGGAATCGCTTCGGATTGCATTTGGAGGATAAGGATATTTGCCTGAAAGCTGTGCGAGATCGCTATGGAGACTATGAAGTTGATGAGTATAGCGAACAGGGTTATTGTAGCTACACCCTTCTGGTCACGCCACCAAAAGTTGCTTTTGCGATGGAACACACCCGGCATCAGGCTACCGCAGAGGTGGATTGTGAGGATGAGCCTACTCTCATCGTCCAGCTTCGGCCGCCGCAGCACGCCCTCGACCACAACATTGTACGCGCTGCCAGCACGGCGCTTCCAGCACTAGCCCCCACCATCGAGGATCTCGGTTTAACACTACCCAGAGGCATTTGCGCATATGAGATGAAGAAGGTTGACGGCACGCCGCTGAGCCGATTACAGCAGCATGGACACTCACTCGATGATAGAGCAGCAAAGCGGCTGGAGCGCCTCATCACAAGTTTCGCGGATCTTATCGCGCAAAACTGGCACTCACCACGGGAAGTACATGATATCACCCGAACGGTACGAGCAGATTCACCTATGGATGAGCATCCATCGATGCTCACGCAGTGCCGCGGCAAGGTCGGCTCAACGATGATCTCTAGACTTGAGAGACTGGCTAGTGAGCTACCGGATGCATATCTACGCGAAAGAGCGAGAGAAACAATGCGCGCGATACAGCGGATGGAAGACTACCCAGTAGTACTCAATCACGGGGACCTCATCCCATCCAATATTCTGGTTGACCACGATACCTGGGAGATCACAGGCCTGGTGGACTGGGCGGAGGCGGAATACTTACCTTTCGGGACCTGCCTGTACGGTCTCGAGCATCTCCTTGGAACCATCTCACAAGATCCCGCAAAATCAGGGCCCAAATGGACCTACTTCAACGGTGCGACGCAACTTCGTGAGCTGTTTTGGTCGCGCTTGATCGATGCCATACCTGAATTGGAAGCTCGGATGGGGGATGTGAGAGTGATGAGAGATGTGGGTGTGCTGCTTTGGCATGGCATCGCTTGGGATAATGGTGCTATCGATCGCGTCGTCAATGATGGGGAAGATGTGGAAGAGCTGGTTAAACTTCGCGCGTTTCTGACCGCAGGATGAGAGCTGCCGCGCGAAGCACCAACGGCGAGCGCATGAGGTATCGTTCTCTTTCTTTTTCGTCTCGTCTTTCATTCCACTTGTCTTCGTTTACGATGTGTTATGCTGAGATTTCGCTCTTGCTGTTGATCGCGGTGCGTCGCGCCTTCCTTTCAAACAGTGGATGTCCCTTCCCACACATAGTGCACCTTCTACATACATGTAGGCAACATCATGAGTTCGTTTGCGACTCATCACTTCGCTCTCCGTCCTCTCCTTCGCCGCTATCGTCGTCGGGTTCGCTCCACCTCGCGTACGCAAGAAGAGCGTCGCCAGTAATCACGTTCTCATCTTCACCACCCTAATCCGGCACAGCGCTGTACCATTTCGGCGACGTGATAGTTGGGAACTGGTGAGTAGAATTTGAAATCAACTGAGCGGTGAAGGCCTGACGAACCAGGACAGACACTGAACATCATGGTGTCCACTCGGCGAGGCACTGCAAACGCAGAGCCAGACACGGCTGGCATTGGACAGCCCAGACCGCTCCGACAGGCGAGCGACACCATACATATCATCGTTCCCAGCGTCAAGAAGGTCGACAAAGCTCAGAAGAATCGAAGGGTGCCAGAAACTCCTCCTAGAATGGCGCTCTCCGGCAATATTAGTGAGCATGATCTCAGTCTCACATCCCCGAGTACCGGCGAATCTCCAGTGGTACTCACCATCACGACGGCGAAGGAACGACAAGGCTCGACTGATCCCACCGATCGAACAGTCTCCTCCGCCCTGCGAAGGCTTGCACCTAAGCCTTTCGCAAACATGAGCGGCAGCAGCCATAATCCAATCATCGTCGATGGTACCTCACCACCTCCACGGCGAGCAACGCGAGCCCCGAAGCGCAGACAGAAACACAAGAAGCTGTCAGAACCGCATCAGTTCATCGGCAACGGATATAGGGAACTATACAGTTACGGTGTCTCTAGACCAGCACTGGCAGCCATGCCTGCGAACGGTAGCACATTCACCGGGCACCAGAGTCACGATATCTATCGAATGATGAGCGCGAAGATCACTGCCGCGCCTGAAGTCAGCCCGAACGCAGCATGGGGCCGACACACCCTCAATGTACCTTTTGAAGTACAGTATCCACTCTCCGCGCCGGTTCTTGCGCAACACGCGCCACAACACCAACCAGCATATGCGCAACACTATCATGTTCAAGTTCCTTCCAACACATACGTCTTGCCAATGGTTCCCTCTCAGAACGAGAACTCGCTCCGTAGGAGAGCTGTCCATCACATCCAAGAGTACTCACGAACTTCACCACAGAAGAGGAAGTTCGCCGATGCTGACCTTGCTGAAACCAGCGATGGTGAAGCCAAAGAACACCAGCGGCATGCTCGACCGAAATCGAGCCGTCCAACCGCGCAGTCGAATGCCACGCCCGCATCGAGTGTACACAACGTTGATCAACATAACATCCACAGGCCGACGGTACATCGAGACCCAGATCCCAACCTGCTCGTCAGTCACCTCATCGAGCACACCTCGCTTATTACATCCTTGCTGCAAGTCTATCCTCACTCTACCGACAAAAAGGGTCTACAAAATGAGATATCGATGATGGTTCAGATCCAGAATCAGTATATGAGTGCTTGGATGGAGGCTGAATCACAGAGCTCGCGCAAGAGAACGAAGAATAACGGTGACGGCGCTGTCAATCTGGCGACCCACCCACAGCCTATCATCACTCCTGCGATGAAGGTTCAGAGTGAAAAAGACCATACAGTGCGTCAGGCTCTTTCTGCTGATGCCGACATGTGGCAGGATGGTACAGGGCATGGCGTTGCGGATGCGTTCGCGGTCGCACCTCAATCGTCGCCGGTGGCGAGCACCTCTAATGTAAGGATAGCTGATCCCGCGAGTATACTTCCGAGTGCAACAACGTCTCGTCATTCCATCCAGGGAAAAGCGGGCGCAGACAACGCTGTCGTCAAAACCCCACCACAGTCGATCACCGACCCGGGAGCAACGTCAACGAGATACAAGGGTAATCTCATTACACCTGTTCGACGGGAAGCCCCACAGACACTTGAACAGATGTCGAAGGCGGCCAAGAATAGCCCGGTGACTATAAACTACACGAGTCAACCGTTTACTCCTCCCAAAGACCTGGGAACTCCAACAAAATTACCGCCCCTCTCCGCCAGCTCTCCAATCACACCAACTACCAAGGATGGCGCTTCGTCTCAACATGGCAACGGCAAGCATTCTTCTTCCCGCAGCAAGCATATCACCCCTATACGACCTGTCCTGAGCTCGGAGCACGGCAAACTCCAAGCCCCGGGTACCAAGAACGCTTCAAGCAGCTTCCGCAGTGAGAGCTCGAGTGACTTTGGTACCCAAAGACCGGTCTTCCGCTTCGAACGACGCGTTGCTGGTGAGGGCGGGGAAGCTGAAGCGAATGATGATGCGACACCGACTGTGAACGAGTGAGTGGACTGGACAGCATGCATGTGAGAGCTGCGCAGAGACTGGGTACACGAAGGATAGGTGGTGTTTGTTGGGAGCTGAGGGTATTTGGACAGAATGTATATGTGTTCCCCGTGTAGTGTGGGGAGAAAAGGCCATGGTAGACGGACCAGAAGCGGGTAGTGTGTGTAATTGGCGTCGAAGGAGATGATTTCGTACTTCACGTCAAGTCCTAGGACTACTCAGGAACGGGATAACTCATGTTTCATGATCCATATTCTATCTGGGTATCAAGTTACTTTTCCCCTTTTCCATTCGTCTTTCATGAAAGAACATTTTCATACATATAACGATGCTTAACCCAGCATAAACCTCATCTACGCACACCTCAACAACCCCACCTAATTTCCCTTATTCCCCCTCTTCCCACCCCTCTTCTTCCTCTCAACATGCCCCTGCATCGTCCTCTTAACATCACCCAAACTGCGCTTATTCTTAAACCTCGCCTTACCCAGCGTCATAAGGAAATTCTTCTTCCTTGCCTTCTCCTTGTTCGTCGTACTCTTACCCGCTTCCTCCTTCTTGGCCTGGTGCTTCGCCGCTTTGGAAGTATGATTCGTCTCGCGGTCGGCCCTGGCAAGAGCAATCTTCTCTTCCTTGGTGTTCTTCTTGCCGATTTTGGCGGCGAGCTCGATGGTCTCGGCGGTGATGGCTTCGTCGGCGTGGCGGGCGGCGAGGAGCTGGGCGCGCTTGGAGGAGCCGGCGAGGGTGGAGGTTATTGTGCTGGAGGCGCGGAGGGCTTGGAGTTGTTTGAGGTCGGCGGGGGTGAGGATGGTGGTTGTGAGGAGTTTGGAGAGGGACTTGGTTTCTGGTTCGACGCTCTTGGAGTTTTCTTTGTCGTCGGATGGGCCCGGGGTGGCGCTGTCGAGCTTGGCTTTCTTTGCGGGCCGTTCCTTCTTGTCCTTTTCGTCTTCAGAGTCGCTGATTTGGATGTCTTCGCCGTCGCTTTCGACGTTGATCCAGCCGCCTGAGTCGTCGCTGTCGCCCTCGCTCTCCACGTCCCACTTCTTCCAGTCGTCTTCGTCGTCGAGGTCGACGTCGCCGTTGTCGGCGTCGGGATCCAGACCAGCCTCTATGAGCTTCTTCCTGCGCTCCTCTTCCTTCCATTTCTCGAGCAACTCGATGCCCTCAACCTCTCCAATAGCTTCTTCACCATAGCGACGTTCTTTGATAGTACCAGCGCGGATACCCATTGTCGCGTCCTTGCCACGATCGCGTTTCTTGAGGAGGTCGGCGCCGACCTCGCGGTAGAGGGAGAGCAGACCTTTGGCGGCCATCATTGTGCCCTTGTCTTTTGATTTGCGGTACTAATAAGCGTTAGTATAGAGTATGGCATCGGATTTCAAGGAGCCAACTTACCATGACCAAGTCTTGAAGCAGAGTATCTGTCATGGCCAATGGCTGACGAGCGCAGATCTCACGAATGGAATTCAGACCTGCTGCCGCGACCTCAGAGGCTGAGGCTTCTGACACGAACTCGTTCGCGATCTTCTGCACAAGTGGCTCAAGTACGTCTGGCGGTACATATGAATGTGTCGCTTGCGCTAAGCACGCCAAGTAAGTGGTGACTGAGGCTTGCCGAGGAGTGAGGTGCTTCAAGAAGTATGAGTATAGCGGAAGGACTGTGAGCTGATGTAATCCAACGAGGCGAGTGACAAGCTGCAGTGCCAGTAGCTTTGTCTCGAGAGCAAGCTTGTTCTTGGTGTTCTGGATGTGCTTTGAGAAGACGGTTTCGGCGAAGCCTTGAGGATCGTGGAGAAGGTGTAGCGCACTGAAGTTGAGGGGGTGGGGTGCATTCTTCTTCTTTGCCTTCTTCTTGAGAGACACAGCTGCGGACTTGATGTCGCGCGCCTTCTTCTTGCTCTTCTTGTTGATTCCGGCCGCGTGCTTCAGCTTTCCAATGTCCACATCGTTGTCGTCATCGCTGCTTTCCTCTGCGGCGGCTTCTCGCTCCTGATCACCACCGAGGAAGAACCTGAGGCCGCCCGAGATGGTCTTTTCGTTGTCGCTCAGTGCTGCCAGTCGCATGACCTCTACGGCGCGCGCATCTGTCCATATCTGTCGTTTCCACAACTCTCTGGTGATCTTCACGGCCCAGAGACCCTTCGGCGAGGAGGTGTCGGATTCTAAGAGACTTGGGACGGTTAGTTGGGAACGCCAAGCATTGAGAGGATACTGCGTACTTGTAAAGTGCCGTTTGCATAGACTTGTTGAGCTTGTGGTTCACAGTCTTCGCGTTGGACGAACGTAGATCTGAGATAATCTTGGTATAGAGCAATTGTCGCAGACTCTTGCTGTTCGTCGCCACAAGGAGCGGGAACAGTGTGTTGAGGAGTTTGACCGAGTCTATGACTTCCTTCCGCTTGAGCAAGCAGTATGCGCCGACGATCTTGTCCCTCAGATCATACTCAAGTACCTCATGGTGGGTGAGCAGAAGCTCGAGATCCCTGGGGAACTCGGATGCGACATCGGGGTAGAGGTCCGAAGTGTGCGAAACGAACTCAATAAGATCCTTCAGCGCAACCAGACCACTGTCTGAGGTGCTGGGGTCGGCAAGGAACAGGTCGAGAAGGGTTCGGTACTGCTGGTACTGCTGCTCGAAGTCGTCTCTGTACGATTGGGGGTCTCGCTTCAGCTTGAACCGGAGTGCCGCATGGTCCGACTCGAGCTTCTCTAGGGCGCCAACTTTGCGCTTCATGGTGTATATACGGTGTCGTGACTGTATCAGTTATCGAGAGCGTCGTCTGTATGCGCCTTCGAGGACTTTGCGACATGAAATTTTAGTGGGGCCCATCCCACCAATTGGCCAGGGCGGACCGACACTAGGCCGAGAAGCTCTGGCCTCTTCGCGCGTAAATCTTTCTCACGAGCCTCGACAACTTGCGCCCGCAACTCTTCAGCCGCGCTGCCTGACACCGGCGCGCACTACACTCTGCAAGCTCGAGCATTACATTCGATTGTCGCGACTTAATTTTGAACTTTTCCCACACGCGCTCAAGACCTCGACGCGACGAGAGTAACTGGGCCAGCGCCCACCGCCGCCCATCATGACGAGCTTCTCTTCCATGTCCCTGTACGCCTTGACGGTCAAACAGCCCACAGCCACACAGGACGCCATCTCCGGCGACTTTCTCGGAAACGGAAAGCAGCAAATCCTCACAGCGAGCGGCTCACGGCTGGCTATCTTGGAGGTCTCGCGGCGGCAGAAGGGCTTCCAAGAGCTCTACTCGCAGGATGTCTTTGGCATCATTCGCCGCATCGCCAAGTTCAGGATCGCGGGCGGAACCAAAGGTATGTCAGTCCTACTTCCCCGCTACAAGCAGTATAGTGATTTTCAAAGCACACGACACCTCCGAGCTCCCAGCTCACTGAGCCCGCGGTGGACTGGATTGCAATTAACAAGAACCTCTGCTGACTCCGTCAGACCATATCGTCATAACCACCGATTCAGGACGGTTAGTCACGTATGAGTACATGCCCGATGAGCACACCTTCAAGACGGTCCACTTCGAGACGTTCGGCAAGTCTGGAATACGACGCGTAGTGCCGGGCGAGTATCTGGCAGCCGACCCGAAAGGGCGCGCTATCATGATCGCCTCAACGGAGAAGAACAAGCTTGTCTACATTCTCACCCGAAGTGGCCAGACGGACATCGCCATCTCCTCACCGCTAGAGGCACACAAGCCACAGACGCTAGTGTACTGCCTCATCGGGCTTGATGTCGGATACGACAACCCCATGTTCGCTACTCTCGAGGTGGACTACTCCAACTCCGAGACCGATCCTACCGGCGAAGCGTACGACGAGATCAAGAAGGAGCTGGTATACTACGAGCTGGACCTTGGTCTCAACCACATCGTCCGGAAATGGTCAGAGCCAGTTGATCGAACCGCCAATACCCTCTTCCGGGTACCAGGAGGTCCAAACGCCCCAAGCGGTGTCCTGTGCTGTGGAGAAGACAGCATCACCTACCGCCGTATCTTCAACAACAAGTCGAGTGTCCACCGACTGGCTATCCCCCGCCGTGAGGGAGCGACCGAAGACCCCAACCGTAAGCGCATGATTGTTGCCGGTACCCTGTACTCTCTGAAGGGCGGCGATTTCTTCTACCTCCTACAAACAGAGGACGGCGATGTCTTCAAGCTTACCGTGGAAGCAACAAATGGCACAGTCGACAAGATTAAGATCAAGTACTTTGATACTATTCCTGTCGTCACCAGCATCTGCATTCTCAGGGCAGGTTTCGTGTATGCTGCCTGCGAATCTGGGGACCGCATCCTGTACGAGCTCGAGTCATTGGGAGACGAGACAGAGGACCCCGTGTTCGAGAGCGACCAGTTCCCTGTCGATCCGGAGACTGCTTTCGCGCCTCCTTTCTTCAAGCCTCGAGCCCTGGTCAACCTCACAGCGGTAGAGTCGATGGCCAGTCTGAACCCAATCATGGGTATGGAGGTTGCCAACCCTGCCCTCGAAGACGCGCCACAGGTTTACACGATCAATGGCACAGGAGGCCGAAGTTCGTTCCGCACCACCAGGAATGCTCTAGAGGTTTTGGACCTCATCGAGTCGCCTTTGCCGCAAAACGCGTCAGATGTTTGGACTACAAAGCTCACCAGCGAAGACGAGACTGACACCCTCATCGTCATGTGCCTTCACAGCAGAACATTAGTTCTGAAAATCGGCGATGATGTCGAGGAAGCCTCTAACACTGGCTTCCTCCCAGATACGAACACGCTCGGTGTGCAACAATTTGGTGAGGACTGTATCATCCAGATCCATCCCAAGGGTATCCGCCACATTCAGGGTATCCAGTTTCCCAACGAAGATGCGAGCGCGACACATGCTAGTTTGACTGATTGGCAACCCCCAGCCCATCGTACCATCGTAGCCTGCGCCACCAACAACCGACAGGTTGCCATCGCGCTGAGTTCAGGCCAGATCTTGTACTTTGAGTGCGACTCCGATGGTTCACTTGCCATGGCCGAGGAGGAGATTGCCCTGGACAGCACCATCAACTGCCTGGCGATGCCCGATGTTCCGGAGGGTAGCGTGCGAGCTTTCTTCTTGGCTGTCGGCTGCAGCGACCAGACTGTCCGGATATTCAATCTGAGTCCTGACATGGAAGGCAACATCCTACGAAGCATCTCTGTTCAAGCTCTTACATCACCGCCGAGCGACCTGACTATCAACCTCATGACAGACAAGTCGCCCCGTGGATACAGCCAGTTCTTGCACATTGGTCTTCGAAGCGGTGTATACATTCGATCAGTACTGGATGAGATGACTGGAGACATCGGTGACACCCGGAGGCGCTTCCTTGGTCCCGAGCCTATCAAGTTTGCGAAGGTGACTGTTGCCGGCGAACCTGCTATCCTTGCAATGACCTCAAGGCCATGGCTAGGCTACACCCATCCCAGGACCGGCGTATTGCAGCTGACACCCTTGAACTACATCCCTTTCAAGTCCGCTTGGAACTTTGATGGTTCTCAGTTCAAGGGAATCATCTGCGTCAGCGCTAATGAGTTACGGTAAGCACCCCTATTTCTTTCGCTCCAACTGCAATGATGAAAATATGTTTCCTACCGTCGAATCAAGATGAGGCTGAAACAAAATTTCCAATTGTTCCTACTGAAAGCAGTTACCAACTCATATTTGTCAAAACTACAAAAGGAATGAACAGTTGCTAACGAAACAGAATCTTCACCTTCAACGACTTGACGGACAACACGACCTACGAGAACATCCCACTCAAGTACACCCCGAGGAAGATGGTCGGATGGCACGACCAGGGTGTCTTCTACGTGATCGAGAGCGATAACAACACTATTAGCGCCGATAGACGCCAGCAGCTGATAGCACACGCTGGTGTAAAGAAGGAAGAGACCGACGGCATCAACGGCCCCATGAAGATCGAGGATGCCGATGGCGATACAGCAAATGGCACAACTGATGGCGACGAACTCCCAGCGATCGACTTTGGATACCCAAGGGCTCAAGGCAGCTGGGCCTCTTGCATCCAAGTGGTCGACCCTGTGAGCGAGAAGACCGTCACCCACACAGTGGAGCTCAACGGCAACCAGTCACTTGTCAGTGCTGCTTTAGTCTTCTTTGAGAGCCGCGGTGATGAAGCATTCCTAGCCGTCGGTACCGCTAAAGACTTGAGCTTCAATCCCTTCAAATACACATCTGCTTCTATACAGGTGTACAAGATTAACCCTACTGGCCGCGAGTTGGAGTTCTTCCACGAGACCGAGGTCAGCGATCCACCTCTAGCGCTACTGGCTTTCAAGGGAAAGCTTATCGCTGGTGTTGGTCGTCACCTGTGTCTTTACGACTGTGGTATGAAGTCTGTCCTCCGTAAAGCTCAGGCTCCGAACTGCGTAGCGACACGTATTACCGATCTCAAGACTCAAGGCAGTCGTCTTGTTGTTTCCGACCAGGCGCAATCCGTCACCTACGTTGTACACAAGGACCAAGTCCACCCCAACCGTCTCATTCCTTTTGTGGACGACACCATCGCCCGTCATACTTCCGCATCAGAAATGCTGGACTACGATACTACAGTCGGTGGTGACAAGTTCGGTAATATCTGGCTCGTGCGCTGTCCCCAGAAGGTTTCCGAGTCTTCGGACGAATCGCCCGACGGCTCCGACCTACTAGTAGACAAGGGCTACCTGGGCGGTACACCGAACCGTCTTGACCTCATTGCACACTACTTCACAAACGACATTCCTGTCTCGATACAAAAGACGGTTCTCCTGTCTGGTGGTGAGCGCATCATCTTCTGGGCCGGTCTCCAAGGCACTCTTGGTGCACTCATCCCCTTCAACTCCCGCCGACAACACAAGATGTTCCAACAACTGGAGCTTCAACTTCGGTCGGACGATAAGCCTTTGTCTGGCCGGGATCATCTCGCCTTCCGCAGCTACTTCGCGCCGGTCAAGAGCGTCATTGATGGCGATCTGATCGAGCGCTTCCTAGTACTGTCACGCGACAAGCGGGAGAGCATCGCTGGGCAGATGACGGGTGCAGAATGGACCCCCAGCATGATTGATGAAGCGATCTGGAACATGCGGGGTCTATATGCCTTCTAGTAGAAGCATGTTTTGTGCACATTACGGCGTTTGGAAATACGGGCCATGAAAAGCGGTTGGTACTTATAACCCGCGCTTCTAGCGTCTTTTTTATGAATGGGGAGCAGTAATTGTATTTGTACATAGGAACGTAGGTCACAATAGACCCAAATGATACCCGAGAGTCCTCTTCAGCTGTGTTCGGAGATGACCTTAGTTTGGTCCGTGGTGTTGCATTCTGAGTCCTGGCTACCTACTGACACAACCTTCGTTTTCGTCATCAAAACCCAACGACCAACCATCCCATCATGACAGCCACCGAAATCGCCACCAACCCTCCTCCACTCCAACCCACATTCCTACCCACACTCCTCACACCCTCCGACGTCTTCTCCTCACCACCCAGTCTATACCCATTCGACCCCGCAATCTCAACGTTAAAGTCCCACTCCGTATACCCCGTGTTGGTAGTTCCTTCTTCCTCTACCCCTTCGCCCCACAGCGCACATTTTATTATCGTCCGGCTGGCTGCGTCTCTGCAGTTTGGACCGAGGTGGATGGACGGTGAGCGCTCGAAGTAGAGGTTGAAGCCGTTGCAGATTTGGGGGTGGGGGTGGGGGGACGGTGATGGGGAGGGTGTGGGTGTTGGTGGTGGTGTTGGAAGACCGGATGGGGGCGTTTGAACGTCCATGGCCTCGATGTTCAGATCATCACCCCACCCATCGCACCTCCTCGCACATTCCCCCGCATCATACGAACGCAGCTCGTAATGTCCCAGATACCCACTTCCAACGTACGAAGCGTTTGCGTCGCGGAAAGAAAGCGTGTAGCGCTCTGGTGTGAGGGCGGAGAGAGCGGGTTGCCGGATTTGAGGCCAGGTGGAGAAGGAATAGGGGGTGTATTCGACTGGGGGTAGGGGGCCGTAGGAGGGGGGGAGGGGGGAGCAGGTGAGGTTGGTGGATTGTGGGGTGGGTGCGTAGTTGGATATGGATGTTGGAGTGGACACGCTTTGTGTGGGTGTGAAGGATATATTCGTGGGGTTCGATTTCGGGTGTTCTGTCAGCCAGGGGACAGGTGTTGCTGCGATTATGCTGAGGGAGCTGGAGGGAATTGCGTACGCCATCTTTTTTTCTTGTGTGTGAGATGCGGTGTCTGAGGAGTAGTCAGGTTAGACTCATGTGTGCGAGAAAATGTTTTTTCGTACTCCACTCTTGCGGACGTTGTGTGGTAGCGATCTGGGATTCGCGCCACTGAGCCGGCTTGTGATACAAAGCCACCTCGCTACTTGCAGAAATCGGAGACAGCGACGAGGTTTTGTGATTGTGTCGTGTGATTGGTTTGGAATGTACGTCGTCTATTGGATAGCTTACACATTCATACGTCCTCACGCGACTACCGCTAGTGCGATATCATACTCAACAGCCCATTGCCTCAAGCTTCAAGCGACGCCCACCTTATCCGCCTCAGCCTTTAATCCCTCCCATCACCGACAACCTACTATAAACCGTTACATCGTCCCTAAACGCTTTCTGCCCTGTCCACAAATTCGTCAGCCTACTCTGTTCAACCAACAATCCCAACTGAGGAATAACTAACCTTTCAAACACCGTTCCACAACCCCAATCCACAAATCCCTTCCTTTCACCCTCGCCTCCTCCTCTCCCCACTGCCCAATCTCCGTCAAAAACGCGTCTTTCTCCCGCATCGTCATCCTATCTTTCATTTCACTCAATGTCTCGGTGCTTGTCCGCGTCGTCACAATTACAGCACCTGATTTGGGCAAACGCGCATACATCTGCGTTTCTGTACGCACGAGCAGTTCAGTTGGCTGCAGATCAGCTATGTGGCCGGCGAAAAAGTCCATGGGGCGTGGGATGTGGAGTGTTGAAGCTAGAGTGGCGCGGAGGGGCCGGGTTTGGATGAAGGTCTGCGTGTGGGATAGGGGGCCAGTGGAGGAGTAAGGGGAGAGGGTTGGGAGGGTGAGTTTGAGGATGGAGGGGAGGTCTGTGATATATGTGTTAGCTTGGGTTGCGCGACTGCTTGGGAAAGAAGAGAGAATTGCAACTCACCAGACCAAGGTATCATCGCTGGTTTCCCCATCCCCTCGCCCCCCACCACCACATCAACCGTCTTCCCCATATACGGACTTACAACATACCCGCTCGGAAAAAGCGTCGTAGCAGCCTGTAAATACCAATTCAACGTACTCTCACTCCTGCCCCAGACCATGAAATCCTCCGCACATAACCGCGCACATACCTCCAACGGATGACATTCCAATCCATGCTCTATCTCGAAATCCTCTCTTGTAAGCTCATTCAGCACATGCTTCCTGCGCGTCTTCGTCAGAAAACGGAATTGGTGCGGATACATGTCCACGAGGAAAGACGTGACTTCCTGCAGGAGTTCGCGACATGCGCGTTCGCCCTCGGGGGTGACGTGGATGCAGGAGGAGCGGTTGCGTAAGAGGAGGTGGGTGCGCGCGGCGTGGTATTCGATGTATTGGGGGGAGATGGTGAGCCAGTTGCTGCGGGGTGTGGGTGTGAGACCTAGATGGGAGGCAGTGAGGGTGTCGGAATGGGTGGTGCTGGATTCGATAGGCCGGTTTGTAAGGGGTATGTCTGGGAAGTAGTCGCCTGTTCCGCAGTCGTCGGCGTCGAAGGCGGGCATGCGGGAGATGCGGCGTTCTTCGGCTAGGTAGGCTCGCGTTTGCGGGTTGGTGAACGAGTCTAGGTCTGAGATGTCTGAGATGTCTTGGAGGTTGACTGTTGTTGTGGCGGTGGAGAGGTTTCGGGGGGAGAACGCGGTGCTGTGTGCTATAGTCTCTGTCGGCGCTGATAAGGAGTCGTGGGTGAAGACGGTCATGCGCCGCTTCCTTAGGGTTTCAGCGCTTGTTCCGGGCTCGTTGTGTTTGCTGTGGATCGGGGCCGCATGGTGGTCTTCTTCTTGGGGTTCATTCCTGATCACGATGAACTTCTCTGGGGCGGGGCCGAGGGCGCCTTTGTAGAACCAAAGCCGTACTGCGGCGGTGCCTATGAAGAAGAAGTAGCAGCAGATGCCGACAACGAGAACGAGAAGGACATATAGGGGTATCGGTCCGGGTTGCTGCAGGTGTAGCGGGCCTGCTGCCATGTCGAGCAGCTGGATAGATAAGAATGTAGTCGCACTGTAGACTTTGAACAGCGAAATTGTGTACAAGTCCAGATTGTCATTGCTGAGGTTGCAGGTGCGGTGACGTGTTTTCGAGCCTTCAGTATTGCGGTAATGTGAATGATGTACAGTACGATGCACCTGAATTCGACATTGAATGCGGTCGTTTCTTCATGGGGCCGCTTGCCAGCATCAGTCATGCCGATAAATAGGCAACAACAAAGGATACCCTTTCGTTTCGATCGTCTTCAGTGTCAGTGTGTGCTGTGTGAAGTCAGGAAACGCATAGGACAGGAGAGCATAGGAAAGTTGGAGATGAAACGAAGAACTGGGTATCGTGTTGCTTGGCTATGTAAGGTAATCAATCAAAGGGACGCCGTACTCCAGTATGTTCTCCTCCATGTGTCAAATTGACCCATCGGTATGACTTCGCGTAAAACAAAAAGCGTCAGAAGAGCATTAGCCAGACCCACCCCGAACGATACGAAGAAGCTCGCCCAAGATGAGCTCCTTCGTGACCCATACTGTTCATGAACTAGAAATCCAACTCTTACTCAATCTTAGGCAAAGCATCAATCTTCGCATACAGCTCCTGCGCATCCTCAAAGATATACCAGATATCCTTAGGTACACCCTTGAACGCCTTCTTGAATCGCTCCGGGTCGTTCTTCCTGCCCTCGTCCATCTCCGCTACGCCCGTGACTTTCCTGATGTAAATAGCGCCGATCCAGTTTTTGCCAAACTTGCGGTAGGCTTCGCCATAAGATTCAGGGTCTGTTTGCGTCGAGTCGCCGATAAGGATGAACTTGCGTTTGGGAAACCATCCGTGGACCTTCTCGATGCGATCAACCTTGTAGGCCTCGGTACCCTGGGTCAAGTTTGCGAGGAAGCCGGCAAGATTCATCCAGCTCGCATCGCGTAGGATCATAGTGCCGTTGGGGTAGTATTGCTCGCGGAATTTGCGAAGGAATGGGTAGAGGTTGTATGGTGACGCTGAGAGATACCAGAAGGGCGGGTCGTCGAGCTTTTGTACAATGTGCCTGTACAGTTCTGGCATACCCTTGATAGGCTCTGGCTCTTCGGCGAAGGTGGTGGTCAGGATACCGACGGGTGAAGATGTTAGCGTCTTCTTGATAGTGTCGTCCACGTCGGAAAGGATGGCCCAGCCCTTGGGTTTGGCGAAAGTGATGTTGAATGGCGTCGCATCAGCGTTGACGGCCTTGAACTTGTTGACTTGGCCTTCCTTGTAGTCGTTCCCTGGAATAGCCAAGACATCGGAGCTGATGCCGTCGCGTCCGCTGGGACCCAATCTGGTGTTGATGCCCAGAAGGTCAATTTGGACGGCATGTGCGGGGAGGATCTGGTCTGCAAATGGCTGGAGCCTCTGTGCGACGGTTGCTCTGGCTTGCTCGTCGTCTGCTAAGCCGATCTTCTCACTGACCCATGCGACGATCTTGGAGAGATCCTTGCCACTGTTCTTGACGAAGTAGGCAGCGACGAACTCGGCGTTCCACCTTCCTAGGCGATTCTGATATGCGGTAGTGTCCAAGATCCATACATAATCGGTCTCGGGGTTGACGTTGTTGTAGAAAGGGTTCTTGCGACCAAAATATGAGGAAAGGTTGTCCTTGAGGGAGAAGCTGAAACGGCTGGTGAGTTTGGGCATGTCTGCTTCAAATGCGGCGAAGCCTGAGTTTTCTCTGGTGATGCGGTCTTGTTCGGTTTCTTCGGTGCGCATTCGAGCACGGCCAGCCATGGCGGAAGCGGATTCGGGAGCCATTTTGTATGATGGTAATGCTAGACAAAGGCGCGGGTGCCTGGTGGGTTGGTGAGGTCAGGAGGTGGGTGTATTGCACGGGACAAAGGGAGGCGAGGGCCATGGTCGAGGTCATATACTTTGTGCCTGGCACTTGACCAGGACTTGACGAGTGGCTGTTGCGGTGTCTCAGGAATGGGCCCAGTGTGCATGAGGGATGACGTTTAGCCAAGCCATGGCTCCGCATCCTGTAGGAATGATCGCTTGCCGAGCGCGCCGATCCTTGAACCTTGTCGGCGTATCGCCTCGAGTTAGGAGTGACAACTCAGCAGCTGAGCGAGATGATGAATCGCAAGCTATTTGTGACCTCACAAGAGACTTTTCCTTCTATTTGGACCCCTTCTTGAGATTGCGCCCTCGGGGTAAAGGTAGTAATTTGTGTTACGAGTCTCTCAGAATGGGTACTGTTGTACCTGGGGTATGCTTCAAAGTACAGATTGACCAAAACGAGCTTCTTCGTCTTTCAGCTGGTGTTGCAAGTGCAGGTAGCCACACTGCAGGCGGAGAATAATGTGAGAGTTTAGCGACACGCCAACGCCAGACAAAGCAAAGCCCTCCGTGATACTTTGAAGGTAGTCGCAGCCTCCAGCACTAACAGCGGAGTAGTGCTGTCGCAGCAGGCTGCAGCAAATGGATGCCTCCCATCGTGCCAATGCTAGCGGAGTGACGTAACCACGGTCAAGCGATCTTGATCAGTTCACGGGTGTGAGTCTCGATATCTGCAGGTACGCGTGACGGTCAATACTCTTGCGCTCAGATGGGGCATCGCTGACAGTGTCGGTTGATGAAAGCCATGCTTGGCTGTGCCAGACTTTGTCGAGGACGAGATGGAATCGGGTGCTACTGAAGAGTCATGCTGCGACGTGATGTTGACGTATCTTGCAGCATACAGTCGCGTTGGAACGGCTATATCGGTACTGTGCTCAAACTCGTCACCGTCATACCTCGCTCGGCGACAAAGGAAATTATTGTCATCGCTGCCCTGGTCTGGTTCTGTGTTCAACCGCCTTTGGCCTCCTCATCTTGGTGTTGCCCGTCGAATAGGCGCGAAATGGTATCACGCGGCGGTGCCACAGGCTAGGAACCCGGTCATGTGCTACAGTGTCGACGTATTCTGCGATGGCCCCAAGGTGGATGAACGGAAAGGGTCCGATTAACGCAGACTACGGGCCAGTGGGGTCTGCAGGTAAAGGCCGATGGCAGGTCTTGGCACAGCCTACGCCATCCAGGACGCGTAGATGTGCCGAAGGAGAGCAGTAGATGGGAGAACAGCACTGAGATGGGTGCAGCGTCGCCACACGTTATACGCGGCTGTTTACGTCGGCCGTCGTGCTTCGCGAGTCTGTCATGGCTTGGCGACAAGAGGCGCAGCCCTACCTAGGTAACCGTCCGTCCGCGCGAGGAAGGCGCGTTGGAGGCCTCGATCAACATCTCGATAGTACCGCATCTGCCTCCTTTACGCTTACGCCCCGGCCTCGCGACTCTGGCTTCTTTGCGCTCCTGTGCTTTCTTTTTGCGCAGCTGCCCTCAAATACCCTTGCGACCGTTTTACGTTGCGGAACGGCCCCGCTACCAAGGCAGACATGGACCTCAAGAAGCGCCTCAAGTTGGGCAGTTTGATGCGCAAACGATCCTGTGCGTCGCATCTCCTTCATTTACACATTTCACCCTAACACTGACAGCGCACGCAGCCCAGGATGTCAACATCGATACAAACGCCGATACGCCCGAGGCCAATGCTACCAAGGGAGTGGTAGGTCATACCGCTTCGTCGCATCCACCAAGCTGACAGCGAGTAGATGCTCTTCTGCGAGTCTGGTGCCGCCAACTCGGTATGTTTGGTGCCCCACGAAATCCATACGACAACTAATATCCCCAGGGTGAAGAGGTCCTCCACTTGCCTACCATTGTCGAGTCCGCCGTCGCAAGCCCCAGCGCAGCCGCAGCCGCCGCAAGACAGATCCGCATCTTCCTCTCCAAAGAGAACTTCAACCGCCCTCATGTCCAGTACAATTCTGTCATGCTCATTAGGATCCTGGCCGACAACCCAGGACCCTCCTTCACCAAGAACCTCGACAAGCAATTCGCCGACACGGTCAAGCACCTACTTCGCCATGGCCAAGACCCGAGTGTCGCGCAAATCGTCAAGGAGACGCTGGATTCAATGGAGCGCGAGAAGGCATACGACACCAACTTGAACACGCTCTTCGCCATGTACCGGAAGGAGAAGGGCCTCATGGCAGCCGCGGCAAAGCAGTTTGGCCCCCGGAAGCTCAATGCGCCAGGCTGGTCGGGGTCACAGAACATACACGGCGGCTTCGGCTCAGGCGGACATAAGTCGTCGTCCAAGACGTTGCCGCCACCAGTAGAGCTCGCAGGTCGCATCGAGGAAGCGCGTACATCGGCGAAGCTCCTTCTCCAGCTCGTACAGTCTACACCAGCGAATGAACTGCTCGGCAACGACTTGGTCAAGGAATTCGCTGAGCGCTGCACGGCCGCCCAGCGCAGTATACATGGCTACATCGCCTGTGACAATCCGGCGCCTGACGATGACACTATGCTCACTCTCATCGAAACCAACGAGCAGCTTTCCCTCGCTGCCTCCAAGCACCAGCGCGCCATCCTTCAAGCTCGTAAGTTCATGGGTGCCTCACCCTCTCCACCAGTACAGAACGGAGCCTACGCGCCACCACCCAACGGCACCAGTAGTCCAGCTGGTGTGCCTGCGCAGTCTCCCGGGCTGTCGAATCTCCCACCACACAACGACGCGCCTTCGCTGGCCCCTATGGATTTCGGAACGACACAACCCAGCGCACCGGCTACCAACCACGGCAATGACAACAGCTCTCTTCCCCCGTCACTGCAAGCTGCACCAGGCCGTACACAACCCAGCGCGCATGAAGAGAACCCATTTGCCGATCACTATACGACTACCTACACACCTCCAGCGTCGTACCAAAACTCTACGTCGACGAACAATTACGGTGGCTCACCAGACCCATATCACCCAGGCTTTCAGTCTACTCCATCATACCTGGGCCGGCAAGAGAGCTCTGCTAATAATTTGACCATGCACGGTGCGCAACCCACGATTCAAGAAGAGGATGACCACATGCGCCCGCGGGCCGAACGACCTCGGACTCCCGATCTCAACGTGCCTCAGCAA